TTCCCATCAGATATTTGGCAAAAGTCTTTTTCCAATAGGTTTTTTTTTTTTTTTTTTTAATACTAAAGTTGGGGAAGGGGGGAGTTAAAACACTCAAAAATGCTCTTCCTTAAAAGTTCCAATTAAACGAGTCCTTATTTTATCCTGCTTTCCATAACACACAGGGGCCCGCATCCTCCACAGCGCAGAGTTATACCTTCAGAAAAGCTCAAACACAGAGCACACGGTGCTTTGGAAAAGTCTTATGAAATTCAAACTATCCCAGGAAGTGAGTACTCTCAGCCCCACGGCTCTCCCACTGGCCATGGAGCAGACTCTGTATCAGAACCATGGTTGTCTGTCTCACAGGAAGAACTCCAGGATCGGGTCAATGTGTTTTGTTTAAGAGGAAGCAATCCAACACCTGTCTTCAGGGCAAGTATGAAAGCAGAGATTGGGAAACGGCTTGGAGTGGCAGGTTGGGACTGGAGTATGGGGGAGAAAGGGAGGCACGAATATTAGGCATTTTTTAAAAGCCTTGAGAGTTCAGTTAAAATTTTTTCATTTTCACAGTTAGGGGGATAAGAATGACAGGCGTTACAATATTGATTCTGGAAATTAGAAGTGAAATCTTTTCCACAGTCTTTACAATATATTTCCAGGGATGTGTCCAATCTAAATGTCTCAAGTAATAACTTTTTAAAGACTATCTAATAAGCAGTTAGTCTGAATTACTGGGAAGTTCATCCTGATTTTCAGTCTCAATCCTGACCACACAATGTTTTGAATACTCTGTGGGCAGCAAAATAGGTTAGGCTCCCTGTCTGTCCCTCACATATTGTGTGGTCTTGGGAGGATTACTTTACGTCTCTTTATCCTGGTTTTTTTGTTTTGTTTTTTTTTCCACAATGAAAGCTTCATCTTACTCTTTCAACTACCTATTTCACTACTCTGTTTAAAGAGTAGTGAGATACCTTTAAGTGAATCACAAAAACACTTTTAAAAAATAAAAACAAACATTTTAGATAGAAAACTTTATAAAATACATGAGCCAATATTTTTAAACACACACACACACACACACACACACACACACACACACACACACACAATGGGAGCCCAGTGCACAAATTCGTGCACCTTGAAAGGAACTGTGGGCTATGAGGCTGCACAGGGGTGGGTCTAGGCACATTCTTTGCTCCCCTGCCCAGTCCCTCCTGCTGCAGTCTCCAGTCCTCTCTCTGCCAGCAGCCTCACTCCTGCTGCTGCAGCTCCCAAGCAGTGATGGTGCCAGCCCTGCTACCACCTGCAGCCAGTGCTGGAGCCAACACTCGCACCCGCTGCAGCACCCAGCACCAATCCTGATCGTTCGGTGCCATCATTAGGTACAAGCAGCAGCTGCTGCCCCAATAGCCCCTCAGGAACAGGGATAGGTTGAGAAGCCCTCAGGGGCAATCAGGGCCACCAATCAGGGTGGTAGCCGCCACTTGCATCCGCTGATGGCACCAAGCAATCGGGACCAGCACTGGGTGCTGGCAGTGGGTGCAAGAGGCAGATGCAAGTGGTGGCTCCAGCACTGGCTATGGGTGCTAGTGGGGCCAGCGCTGGCAGCAGATGCAAGCGCCAGGTAGGACTGAGGTGCACAGTACGAAAGAATTTTCAGTAACCACCAGAGGCTCGCCCCACTGACAGCGACTGGTACCCAGCCTTGGTCTTGCACCCCCATTCACCTGCTCCACCACCCCACCACTGCCAATACCTGCCATGTTCCACACTCTGCTGCCTACTGTCAATGCTCGCCATGTTCTGCATGCACTCCCTGGTGGTCAGCGCACGTCATAGCAACCAGTTGTTTGGTTGTTCTGCCGTACAGTCTATTTGCATATTAGCCTTTTATCATATAGAATACTAAACAATTTAAATCTCTGCTTAAAAATTAAAGGGCATCACAAGGAATATCAATTTCAGTATTTCCTATACTTTAAGATACCACATCAATAACAGCTTCAGGGGGAAGGAAAAGAACTATGTTCAATGTTTAAACTGATGGTGAAAATCATTTCGGTGTCAGAAATCCAATATATGCAACACAAACAAATATGTACTTCTTTGAATTGTAGAATTCTGCCATCTTACAATAATACACCCCGAGTATAGTAATGGAGTCAAGCCTGCAAAGCTGCCTGCAGTATGTTCAATGTGCAGAGATCTATTTTTTTAAATGTTGTTTTCTAGAGAAAAAGGGAGAGGGATAGAGAGACAGAAGCATCAATGAGATAGGAATACCACCAATCAATTGCCTCCTGCACGTGCCCCCACTGGGGATTGAACATGCAATCCCAGCGTGTGCCCTGACTTGGTTCCTGGGTCATTGCTCAACTGCTGAGCCATCCCGGCCAGGAAAGATACATATTTTTAAAATAGCTTTTCCACCTTCTCAGTTCACGCCAGACTGGCAGATGAGCCATCTCAGAGACCCTCACTTGTAGTCCTTCACCCTTCAAATTTGTGATTTTTATACTATGGCTATGGAAATTGGATAATTCAGTGTGTTGAAATTATGTATAAACATGATAAAATGAGAGCCTACTTTTAGGGATGCTCCTGGGAATGAAGTGCACACATACTTGCTGTCCTGTAGTCTGTTCTGCTCTCTCCTTTACCACCTCCAGGCCTAACTCCTTCCTGGTAGGTGATAGCACCATATGCCTGGGGTTTTATTTTCTTAAATAGAAGCTTGCTTTTTTTGTTGTTGTTGTTCTTTATCAGTCCATAATATATTCCTGAATGCCTCTGCAGCCCAAATAGTTGGTATGCATGGTAGGAAAATATGGAGGCAAACTGAGTCAGTGCAATACACCGAAGAGAAACTAATATTTTAACGTACCTGAGTAATAAAGGTGAGAGAGAAAGATGCTGCTGAATGTCTCTGCCACCCCAAAGCCTCCGAGTCAACTGAGTACAAAGAAGAGTTCAAAGGCAAGGCAGGCTCCTGACTTCCACCTCCTAGTGTGGCTGAGGTTAGAGGTCACTGCTGGTGGAGCCACTGACCAATAAAACAATGTTTGGAAACTCCACTCAATAGATAAAACTAGGGATCCATTTACACCTTCCTCCCTATCTACACAAACATTTCTAACTATCCAGTCTAGTGTCTATCCAGCCTTCCAAGATCCTCGATTGCTTTCTTTTTCATTGTGCTTCAAGGGGGACTGAGGATATGAATATTCCTTTTGACTATAGAAAAATATTTAGTTGCACACTTCTTCCTGCTTTCCACTGTGAGAAAGATGGTTGACGGGCACTCCATCTTTAAAGCCTTCCACAAATGCCACCTCTTCAATAAATCGATCCCTGCCCATATCTTCTTCCTTTTATTTCAGACCCCTAATGTACTTTGGAAAATCTGCACCATATCCTCAACTTTCTTTGTGCTCACGCCCATATGTCTACAAGATGATTGTTAGGCCTTTGAGACTGAGGATCACAGATTTTTTTATTAACTCCTATCATCTCCCCTTGAAAAAAAACCCACACTTAATTAGGGTTTCATTAAATTAATCAACTAGTTAATTTAGCTCATAGCACAATAGAAGGCTGATTGATACTGTTTTAACTATTATCCTCTACCAATTGAAGGGACTGGTTTTTAACCTACCCACAAAACTACAACAACAACAAATAATAAGCTACCCCTAGCCTGTCCAATGTATTCTTGTTGCCCTTCAGGGTAGATAACAGAGCCATTGGTTATACTTTTCTTTAAAAATCTCACCTTACTAAGAGCTCTTACTTTAGGCTCTAGCCCTGTATTTCACATTATGGCTGTTTTACTATCACATCTAAGGTCAAGGGGAACATGTAATTTCTTCTTGTCAGGCTAATTCCCAAGGCACAATAAGGACTTTGGCCACTGTATACACTGATCAGAGTGTAGCCTTACTGATGCTGATCTCTAAGTTGCAAAATGTTGCTGCAATCCCTTCATCAAGATTCCAACCCATTCTTGGGGTCAAGTCAGAAACAGTAGTTCTATCCTATCTAGGGATAGCAAAATCCTGTGCTGAGCACTTTTTCCTCAATAAAAGAATAGTTTCTGAAGAAGGGCTTTGAGGACGATGTCGGAGTGAACTACCAGAGCAGCTCATGGCATTTAGGATTTAGGATTTCTTGGAAACATTGACACAGAAGGAAAATGAGTCACTTAAAAGTGGATGGAGACCTCTGCTGGCTATCACTGTCCATGCAGCTTCTTCAACTAGTTCTGAGTTGCTCAGCAAAAAAATCACTGGGCTCCTCAGCCTCTGGCATACCAACCAGAGGCTCTATGGATCAACCACTGAGGCAAGAGGTTTATCACTGTCTTACAAAAAGATCCAAATGAGTCCTCCCCAAAGAGAATTCACTAAAGTGTAAAAACTTCCCAGAATCAGCTGCATGCTATTTTTTTCAGCTACTCCTGCCAAGGTCAGTTTTAAACTGATAGACAGTAATCTGGAAAGGGTCCTATAGAACAAAAGAACTCTCTCTAACCTTAGAGAGCTGAGACTATAACTATCAATGGAACAGTGGCTCTCAATCAAAGCAATTTTGTTTTGCGGGGGACATTTGGCAATGTCTAGATAGTTTTGATTGTCACAACTTGGGATGAGAGTATGCTATTGGCATCTAGTAGCTAAACCTTTATACCTATCTGGGAATTACTTCAACCTGATAACCTCACCTCTAGTTGGTATCAGTCCATTCTAGAAATACGGGTTTGGGAGAAGAGATCATTTTTGGAACATACAATACTCAGTGAAGGGACACTGCAGAGGAGTGCTTTAGAAGGTCTCAGAGTAGCACAGAGAAAAGGGGCGTCAGAAAGCAGGAGAGAGATGTAGAAAGGGAGGCAGGAAAGTGCCCCTTTCTTCTGCAGGTTGACATAATGTAGGGCATTCCCCACCAGAGGGGGTAACTGGCCCTTGTGACTAGAGGGGTTCAGGAAAAGAGAGGACCTTAATTACTGCTTGGCCTCTTACCTGTCTCTGCATTTCTTCAATCTGTCTTTGGGGGATGTTCTGCAAAATGCTGTATACATCTGCCATCTTTTCTTCTGGCACAACCACAGAGGCTCTAGAAACAATAGGACAATTTATATACGTACAGCTCTTTCACAGAGCACTTCTATATACGTTGCCTGTTTAATTCTCACAACTAGAAACGACAAACCTCCTTCAGCTAGACTGTAGACCTAAGCCATCCAGTTACTCAGCACATATTTATGGAGACCCTGTTAGGGACCAGGTGCTGGTAATGCGCCAGTGAGCAAAGCAGACAAAGAAGGCATGGGAATGAGAGAATACCCGAGGGAGGAGCACTCCAGGCAGAAGGACTAACAAGTGAGAGGCTCTGAGAAAGCAGCGTGTCAGGAATGTTCCGGCAACAGTAATGAAGCCAGTGTGGAAGATGGAGATGAGCAGAAACCGGGGAGGGAGATTTACAGTAAAGCATATAGGCCACTGTAAGGACGTGGGCTTTTACTGAGGTAGAAAGTCACTGGGAGATTTTAGGCAAGCATGGCACGATCTGATTATGTTCCACAGGATCACTCTCCCTGAATGAAGTGTTAGAACAAACCACCAAGACCAGAAGCAGGGAGAAGAGTTAGAGGCCACGGCCAAATCTAGGCAAGAGTTGCTGAGGAGGGAGGAACTGATGAAAGTGTTGAGAGAGGAGAGCCAGCAGGATCTGCTAACAGATCAGATATGGTAGGTAAGGGAAAGGGAGGATTCAACAGTGATTTACCCTCCATGGCATTTAGCAGAGATTGCAATTATATTTGCATAGATTAATTTATTAAAATCTAAAGCCCTCTCCCCACACTACTAGTAGACTAGTCCATTGGGATGAAAAACCACGCCTCATTCCACTCACCAGCATATCCTGAACATCTGGTACATTGCTTAGCACATACAGTTAGCACTTAATAAATATTTGCTAAATAAATACATGATTTGAACTACACAGAATGGAAAACCGAAGCTCAGAAAAGATTAAATGATTTGCCAAGATCACAAAGCTAGCTGGTTATCTGAAGCCAGGTTCCCTGACTCCAAATCCAGAGCCCTTCCACCACTTACCCATAATTCAACTACCCAAGCAGATCTGGCTTCCACAGGAAAACCTTCTCAGACTTGGCTCAGGGTCACTGCCTCTGTAAAGCCCTCACCACCTCCACCCCAACAACAGTATGTGTCTCCTTCTCACTCTTCTCCAAGCACCCCACCCAGAGCTGAGTCTCATCACAGTATTTGGTAATTACTGGTTTACTTGTCTATCTTCCACCACCAAACTATGCACTTCTTGGAGGTAAAGTCTGACCTTGATCATCTTTGTATCCCCATACCTAACACAATACAGTACCTGGCAAATAAAAGACACTCAATCACGTTTTCATGGATATATAAATGACTGCAAGTGGCTCATCACTTCTCTTAGGTACAAAGAATTGCATACCCTCTTCTTCCAGGCTGATTTAGGCTCCCTCCTCCGTTCTGGGCTCTCATCGCCCCCCTGTGCATGCATCTATTATAGCCCTTAACACACAATATTATAATTGGTTTGTCTACCTCATTAAATTCTAGCCTCCTTAATAGCAGAGATTATATTATTCACAGTAGGCTTCCCAACAAATGAATGAATGAATGAATATACATATGAGTGAATACACATATGAATGAATGCTACTTAAATTACTCAAATATCTGTAATGATAATAGTTGGATAGAAATATTTAAAAAAAACTGGGAAGAAAGCAATTAAGCATTTAAGATCAAATTGAGCCCGAGAAGCATATATAAAAGAAACTAATTTCCAATAATCTTTAACCTCCAAGTCCTAGGAAAATGAAATAACATGAGCATCTCAGGCTAGTCTGTTTTTTTGTAGCATTAACAGCCATAACCAAGCAGAGCCTCCATCTGTCCATCTGTCCACTTGGAATGTTTCTAAGCTTTCATCCATGGGGAGGCACTCCACCTCCAGCTAGTCACATTATGCAAATTCAATAAAGACTCCAGAGCAATGGTTCTCAACTGGGGTTATAAATTATACCTAGGAGCTTTAAAATTCAGCATTCCTAAGATTAAATCCAGGCATTTAGAAAAGTTCTCCAGGTAAGCATACCTTGCAGTCTCTACATACCACTTGAGCTTTAATACTAATATCACTAATCATATTTATTGGGTCAACTAATCTAATCGGATTTTTATTCCACTCTACCCTGACCACTCAAATATCAATAAATCTTGGTATATCCATTCCTCTTTGAGCAGGTACAATTGGCCAAGAATTGGTAAATACTTTCTGTAAAGGGCCAGAAAGTAAATATTTGAGGTTTTGTGAGCCACACAATCTCTGCAACAACTACTCAACCCTGCCACCGTAGCATAAGACAATATGTAAGTGAAAGGGTGTGGATGAGTTTCAATAAAACTTTATTTATAAAAACTGGCAATACACCATATTTGGTTCACAATCTCTGCTCCAGGCCAATGAACTAACTCTCCTGAAAGAAAACATAGCCAAAAACAGTCTACAGAAGTTCTCACACTTAGGTAGGCATCACAATTACTCAAAGGCTTCTGAAATCTAATACAGAACCACTCGTGTAAAATTGATTATAAAGTAACACCTACCTCTTCCAGTCAAGCACTTCGGAGAAGGGCAAAATGTAGGAGTCTGCAATGACAACGGGGATACAGCCAGCCCGCAGAACGTCACTCAGTACTGCCTGGCCCAGCCGAGCCCCACGAAGAACCACGCAGAACGTAGCCTCCTGCAGGAACAGAAGCAGAAGTAGGGTTTACAGACCAGTTTCCCTGATCCACTTGTGATCCCTGCAGACCATAAACTTCTCCCAAAGACTGAGGCCAAGCAACACTGCGGCATCCTGACACAAAAATATAACCATTAATTCACCCTTCTGCTCTTCAGCGTCTCTTCAATGCCGCCTCAGTTGCCACCCTGAAAATGTTTAAAACCCACCTCCAAGTCTTCTCTGGACACGCAGTATGACTGTGCACAGACTGTCTCTTTCAGCTCTATTGTACCATGGACATACATGTGGCACAGTGTACTTACCACAGCCTACCGTGTAACAGAATTATTCTGTCTAGGCATATCGGGTTCTCTAGAGGACCCCCTAATGGGAAGGTATCAAATCTCATTTCATCTTTCCACTCCCCCTGGCATCTAGCAGTGTGCTTCGCTATAGAAGATAGTCATTTCATGAATGCAATACCTTTGAAAACATATTAAGACAGAAATGTTCAATTTAGAAAAAATAAATTGGACAAAATGAAAAATCTCAAAAGGTCTTCCCCATTCACTCCCTCGGTGTGGGAAACATCTGGGAAAATAAGAAATGCAATTGGTAAACCAGAATAAGAAAAGACCCCTCTAACTCTCAGTTTCTCCCAGATTTTGTCTCGTCAGGAGAAAAAAGAGTTTTAAAAAGACAGACTATTTCATCTTTAAAGCTAGAGAAAAGGAACATTTAGGAAAAAAAAAAATGTGAAGAAACTCAATATGCCAAACTCCTCTGGGGATAAATAAAAGCAGCAGCAAGAGTCAGAGAGGGGAATCAGTCATGGCGCCCAGAGGCGCAGGTGGACAGCTCCGCCGCCCTGAGGAGTCGGCATCCAGATGTGGACACACGTGCTGATAACCATTTTTCCTGTCTAGACAAAGGTTACTATAAATACTCCTGTTCGCATCACCACTGTTATCAGTCAGACATTCCAGAGAAGACGCAGTACTTTTTGAGAGAAAGTATTTTAACAATCTCAGCATGGCCAGTTCTCTTTGGAGATTAAAAAAAAAAAAAAAAAATCATACCGGCACCTTAGTATTTCCCCTTGAACTAAACCTGTCTGCATCTTAAATATTGAAGTGAACAAAACGCAATGTCTCCTTTCTTAGCCTCCAGACCCTTGGAATGTCAAATATCCTGCTTATAAAACATCCCCAAAAGGATTGTTTTGCCCATGGTTATGTATATTTAAGTACAAGACATGCCACCAGTTTTGCTAAGGGTGGCAAAATACCAAAAAACAAAACTGTGACTAAAAATAAAGACCTTCCATGCTCAGAAAAAGCTGACTGTGGCCTGTGGGCTAGCAGTCAGAGGGTTCAAGCTGCCAATTAAAGAAGACCATTTCTGACTGGCTTATGATACAGGTGTAACAGCAAACTACATCTGCTTGCTTTGTCTATGTGGCTTCTTTGTAAACCTCTCACATTCGCATGTTGAAGTATAATGAATATCTGAAAGGCCTATGGACTCTCACAGGCCAAGCAGCTTCGCACAAACGCTATGCCAGACTTCGAAGCACCTTTAGGTCTACACACCCATAAAGAGCAATACTCCGCTTCCTCCCCCCTGGGGGATTCTCCTGGCTGCAGTGGAGAAAGCGCCTGTTGGTCAGGGTTAATTCCATCTGTGAAAGTGATCGCTTCTGAGGCCTGAGAGAGGAATGAATGGCACTCACCTGCAGCACCTGGGGGTAATCAAAGACCTGATGCTTGTGGCAGCGCTTCCGGACGGAAAGGACGTCCTCGGAGAGGTTGGTGCATTTATCCAGTACTAGCAATGACTCTCCGTGTTTGGCCTGGAGGGCTCCCAGCTCCTCTCGGTACTCGGGGTGGAGAGCCATTTGAGACGACAGGAGGAAGTATCGCCGGGGACTATAAAGAAGGGAAAAAGTGACTGGGAAGCTGCAGCTGGTGTGACAGTCAAGGTAAGACAAACTCTGACATTAAACGTATGCCAATAGCGTTTTCTCATCAGTTTTCACATCTCTTGACTTTTTGGGAAATAACACTCTAGCATGGCTGACTGTTTAAAATATTATATGCTGTAAGAGAGTAAGGTATGACTCATTCACATGCTGAAATATTATGCAATAGGTGAAAATCTTATTTGGAAAAAGTTCTTAATGTTTTGAGGAACTGCTTACAATATGCCAAGCCACACTTAGCATGCTATAAATGTGTGTGTGTGTGTGTGTGTGTGTGTGTGTGTGTGTAAATAAAAAGAGAGAAACTGACTGACTAGTTGATTGGAAGAAATGTCAACATGTTATCATTATCTATAGCTGATTCTCTGATCTGAAAAAGAACTGAGAGTTGGCTGCATCCTTCAAATGGGAAAAGAGGGAAACTTGATGGGCAGCACTGGCGGTAAAACCAGGAGAGAGTAGGACTTCTCTGGCTGTGGAATGGCACCCTGATGCTATGAAGAAGCTCCAGGGAAAGGCAGCTCCCATGGTGAAGGTCAGCCGCCATCAGAAAGACTGAACTGGTCATTGAGAACAGGTGGGAAAAAAGTATTTACCAGAGGATGGTATCAGTCTTAAGATCTGGACAACAAGGATCTTAAAAGAAAATGGAGTGAAGAAAGGATTCCCAAGGGCCTGGTGCCATGTAGAACTCCATAAGATAAACATGAGAACACAAAACTACTAAGCCAGCATGAAGGGGGGAATTTTGGGGAGACCATCTGGTAAGTAATTCCCTCCTGGAAGACAAGATTTCCAGAAAACAGAGAGGTTACGGAGCTTAGACCCTGTATGGGGTGAGAGGCCATTAGAAAAGAGTAATACAAAGCAGGGTCCAGGAGGAAATGAAATGCCCATCACACCTCGTGAGATTTAATGCTCATTTAAATCTACCTCTAACTGATATAGGACATGGAAAATACGAGGGCTGTGCATCTCATAGGCTTGATGATAATATGAGTCTATTCATAAGAAAGGACCAAGACCTATGCTCTGTGAACCATCTCGCTCTTTTTTTTCCTTGCTTTGGGAAGGAAGGGAGGGTAATCGTTTCACTTTCCTTTATTTCTTAGACTTATTTAGAGGTTCATACATTCATTGCCAAAGACTAATCAATCATTCTTTAAGTGAGGTCCCATCGTTTAGTGAGTACTAAACTTCAGGTCCAAACCACACAGAGCAATGATGGAGAAGTTGAACTGGCCTGGCCAGCCAGATCAGCTCACAAACTCCAGAAAGCAGAGCAACAGGTAACACAGCCCCGGATTACTTACAATCTTCAGAACTATTTCTTTTGGTAATTTCTTTCTACAAATGAACTAAAAGCAAAAGGCATTTCCCACACCATAGTGAGGGGGGGGAAAAGAATAAGAGGATTCCCTAGAACCTCACTGTCCAATAGCAATTGCCACCTCAGGCCATTTAAATTAATTAAAATTTCAAATTCAGTTCCTCCACCACATCACCTGCATTTCAAGCATGGGCCCTATGTGGCTAGTGGGTGCCTGACAGCACAAATCCAGACCACCACCTCAGCATGGAAGGTTCTGTGTGCTAGAGCTGCACTAGAAGGTGGCTTAGACCCAGAGGCCCGGGTAAAGGTGAGTGGAAATAAGAACCACATGGAATAGCATCCCATCAGGGAGACAATTTGGACCAAATGCACAGACTGGTTCCTCTCATTCTGGGCAATGTCCCCCTAAGTTGTAATTTTATGAACAATAAGCTGAATATTTACATCCAACGTGTTTCTTCTGGACACTGAAACAGACTCTTGGTTTCTACTCCCAGCTCTGAGCCCCAACAATTTTTCTTGGGTGGAAGCATTCCTTTTGGAGGAATGACTTAGTGGTGCAAAGACCGGAAACAGGGAGCACTCTCAGATCAAAATATTTCCATGATCCATCTTGTCTGTTTAAACAGGAGAAAACGTTATACCCAAATTCACAAGACAAGCAGGAAAACCATCTTAACAAAGCTATCTGAAAATGATGTGACTGCAAGAGTTTTTCTTATTACAAATCAGAAAATGTTTTGTTTCAAAATTATAGTGAAAAGTCATGCATCAAGTTAAGGCTAAATGGCCGGGCCCCTAAGGGTCTTTCCAATTCCTAAGACACTGAAACATGATACTTGCTGGATGTTTCTGGAGACTTTCTATTTCAGTAGAGCTGCTAACAAAAACGCTGCAAGAATAGGCATGTTGGCATCCAAAAGGGTGTCCTCGCAGGACGATGCAGAGTTGAAGTCCTAGCAGGAAGAGGATGTTTCTGCATGAGGGTGGCCCACCCAGAGTGTTGAAGGCCTTATGGAGTAAGACTTTCTACTTGGGGAATAGCAGGGAGGTGGCCCAGCGCAGGGTATCAGAGCCCTAAAAGGGTGACTGGCTAAGGTTTCTACACTATAGACAGGGATAGAGGTAGTTATGGCAACCCATGGGATGCTGGAGACCAAGGGAGGTGAGGGGGCATCTGGGAATCCCAGAACAGTCAGTCACAGGACCACTGGATCCCTGCTCTGTTACTGCTCCATTTTCAACATAAATGTGCAGATGTGAACAAGAATCTGAAATGATCCCCTGCTTCATGCTGGCTCTCACTGACCTGGAAAATGGTTGATGGAACATGCCCATTTTAGTTTTAAGCAAACAAAACGTTCAGGTGGATTTGTTTTTCTTTTAAGGACTAAAATTACTGGCTATGACTTTCATGTTTCCTCCCAGCAGTGTTGATATCTAAGTTTAAGTAAAATCATGCTGAGAATTTGAAGTCTCCCTCAAGAGTAACAGTTGTAAACTCCCAATTTAGTTCCTTTTGGAGAGAAAATGACAAGAATTCCAGCTGAGGCCAGCACAGCTGTGAGAAGGAACTATCAATAGTAACAACCCTCAACTTCTCATTGAAAAAACAGAGAGGGATTTAATATAAAAATAAAAACAAAGCTCTTGCTACTCTATATAGCCCTCAAGAGATGTGGGAATTCCCTTAAAAAGCAACTCTCACAAAGAGCAACAAATACCAAACACTGCCAAGAGGTCCCCCACCATGCCTCTTCCCAAGTCCCTAGAAAGGATGGTGAGTCTGGAGCCTGTCTTTTCCTTATATTTTTTTTACTTGGGGGGTGCAGGAGGTGTTTATAAAAGAAACACCACAGCTGCAGAGCCAAACTGTGAGCTAGAGGGGAAATGTGGGTCCACACTCAGATGTGAAATGCACTAACTGGCCAGCAGAGGGAGGATCATGCCAGTGCAGCCTTTAACATCTGCTGCTGCCCTTGAAGATAAATCATGTAACTAGTTACTGATACACAGAACTTCAGAAACTCGGAGACCTTAAATGATCAATAAACATATCCTCAGGTGAGGATAAAAAAAAAAAATCAAGGAACCCTGAATAGCTACAAAAAAAAAAAAAAAAAAAAAAAAAAAACCTTGAAAAACAAACACAAAAATAGAGGACTCACATTTACCAATTTCAAAACTTATTACAAAACTACAGTAATTAAAACAGTAGGGTAGTGCTACTGACCAATGGAATAAAACCAAGAGTCCAGAAATAAACCCACACATCTATGGCCAGTTAATTTTCAACAATGGTGCCAAGATCATTCAATGGGACAAGAATAGTCTTTTCAACAAGTGTTGCTAAGACAACTGGTATCTAAAAGTAAAAGAATGAAGTTGGACCGCTACCTCATACTATATGAAAAATTAACTCAAAATAGATCAAAAACCAAAATGTAAAAGATAAAACTACAAAATTCTTAGAAGACGACGTAAGTGTACATCTTTATGACCTTGAATTAGGCAATGGTTTTTTAACAATGACACCAAAAGCACAAGTATCCAAGGAAAAATAAGTTGGAGTTCACTAAAATTAGAAGCTTTTGTGTCAAAAGACACTATCAAGAAAGTGAAAAGACAACCTACAGAATGAGAGAAAAGATTTGCAAGTCATATCTGATAAGGATCTAAACTATACAAAAAGTTCTCATAACAATAATAAAAACAAAATCAAACTTAAAAAATGGCAAATGATTTAAATAGATATTTCTCCAAAGAGATCAATAAATGATCGATAAGAACATGAAAAGATACTCAACACTATTAATCATTAGACATATGCAAATCAAAACCACAATAAGATACCATAGTACATCCACTATGATGGCTAGAAGAAAAAAAGATATGACAAGCATTGGCAGGGATATGGAGAAACTGGAACCCTCATACATTGCTGGTGCAGCCATTTTGGAATGCAATCTAGCAGATCATCAAAAAGTTAAACATAGAGTGACCACATGACTCAGCAATTCCACACCAAGATATACATCCAACAGCATTAAAAACATATGTTTATACAAAAACCTGGATTCAGATGTTGACAGTAGCATTACTTAAAACTGTTAAAAGTGGAAACAACTGAAATGTCTGTCAACTGATGAAGGAATAAACACAATGTGGTATATCCATCAATATGATGAAATATTATTCAGCCAAGAAAGGAATGAAGTATTAATTCCATGCTACAAGATGACTAAACCTTAAAAACAGTGTGTTAAGTGATAAAAGATACAAAAGGTCCCATATTATATGACAACATTAAATGAAATGTCCAAAATGAACAAATCCAGAGAGACAGAAAGCAGATTAGTGGTTGTTGCTGGGAGCAGAGGGTATGAAGTTTAGCGGCAGGGATAGAGAGTGACAGCTAGTAGGTACTGGGTTTATTCTGGGGGTGATGAAATGTTCTGGAATTAAATAGCAGTGATGATGATAGTTTTTTTTTTATACAAAAACAAAACAAAACACTGAATTGTATCAAATCCAAACAATATACACCTAACACTTACACAGTGTTATATGTCAATTATATCTCAATTTTTAAAAACTCACTGAATAGTACATGTTAAAATGTTATGGTATAAAAATTATATCTCAATTAAAAAAACAAATTAAGTCAACTATGGGAGCCCAAGAACAGAAAAATATTCAGAAAGTTTATCTAAGCAACACATTCATGCAAGATCCAGTCTTTCTTTGCACTTCCTTATGGGTAGAGTAAACGATGGTTCCACCTCATCTGAGCCTATTTTATACATTGTCTAAAGAATAACATTTCAAGTAACTTCCATAATTTGGCCCTAGACCACCTGGCAGAACACACAGACTCAGGAGAGAAATGTCTTCACTTTGCACGGCTTCTGAAGGGAAGCTCTGAGAATGCACACGGGCTGTGCTGAGTGCACTTACCCCGGTCCTTTCTCTGGAAGGTCCACCTCAGCTGACAGCGGACTGTAGACAGGAATGCTGACATCGTAGCCTTGCCTGTAAGTCCATGTAGAAAAGCCACCACCAGCCAACAGAGCCCTGAGAGAGAAAAAAAAAAAAATGTCAAACAGTAGGAAGATCTTCATGCTGAAAAGCTCCATAGAAAGGGACAGAAGTAGAGTGAGTCTTCACTTAACATTGTGGATAGGTTCTGTGCCTTTAAGCAAAACGACATATAACGAAATCAATTTTACCACAGACTAATTGACTAAACAAGAGTTAAATTCCCACTGCATCTCACGAATGCTTTAAGGAAACGAAGTTGAATGAAATGACATTATTCGAGGACCTGCTATAATTGAGTCAACAACAGCTAATGTTAACTTAGTCGTTTTTCCATAAAGACATGGTGCTAAGTGTTTTACATCACATCTCCTGGACATCAGCTGCATCCCATCCCTGAGTTACCAGCTTTCCTCCAGGGTCCTAGTAGTCGTTCCTTACTTTCCGTTTTTAAAAATAGATGACAGGCCAGAGGACACCCTGTGGTATCTTATTCAGCTCCCATTCACCTCTCCCAAGTCATATCCCGGTCTTAAACACATTTACAATAACAGGTATAACAACAGGTCTGCATAGGAAGACTGGCTGGGACCGTCACTTACCTACTCATTGACCAGAATCTCAGGAGACAGTGGGCACTGAGAGCAACAGTGACAGCAAAGCATCCCATCTCACTGCATATGCCCCAGCTTCTCTCCAATCCTGCCCCAAGCAGTTCTTCCCACTATTATCCCTGAGCTACATGGGAATCGTGTAGCCTCTCTCAGCAATCACCTTCCATTCTGGTTAATCTTGTTAACCCAATTCCCTGGACAGGAAGCAGAATCCAGACCTGGACCTTCAGTGCTTCTCTTGCAGTTCACATGCACCAGTTTTTATTCTCAATCAGAAAGCTGGGAACACACTGTTTTAATTGGATCCAGCAAGTAGTAAAATGACACTTCATCAGAACAAGGAAGCAGGTGTTTATCACACCAACTTTTACTGTTATTCTGTCTTTGGGGTTCCAAAACCATCAAAATCATTTACTGGAGCAAGGTATTGCCAGTTCCTTGCACTGCACAGTCTAGGCCTAACTGTCTCAACTGAGAAACCACATTTTTTGCAGTACTGATTCCTACCAATACCCTCCCTGTTGTGATGACAGTGTGCGTTCCCTTCCAACATGAGCAGTTAAAGTTCAAAGATTTTCAAACCACCCCTGGAAATCCCAATCTGTTTGTTTAAGCTTTCCGAAACCAAGAATTGGTTAGTGAGGTAATGTGTAGGCTAAAAATCTCTCCAGCTGCCAGTCTACTCTGTAAAACTTAACGACTATCCTTAGTATCACATACGGTCTTATTCTTCCTGATTAGCATTCACCAGTGAATACAATCCAACATGAATTTGGCAGGATCCATGACCATGATGGCAAACAGACTGTATGGGCCCCCATGACCTCTGTGCAAACACCGATCCAATATACAGGCAGTGGGCGGTCCAGGTAAGCCAGGGTAGTGAGTGATTAATTACACCCACAGCTCCAGCGGAGAGGGGTGTGTGTATGTGGTGAGAAAAGAAGCACCAGCTTCTACTGTTATCCTGTCCGGGGGCCGCACACTTCATCCTGTGCCAGTTTATGCACTGACAGTAAAGAAGCATGCAATCCTAAGCATGTCTTACATCACAGATCACACACATGCAATCTCCATTTGTGATCTTGAAAATAGCCACAACTGCCATTAAGCAACGCAGACCTCACACCAACCCTGTCACTGACAAGATTTCAATCTTAAGTCATTGCATCTTCTTCTGCCAAGGTTTCCATAACACTGCGATGGAAAAATAATTGTAAGCACCCCTTGCTTTAAAAAAAAAAACACAAAAAAACACATGTTTTACATTGACTGAAAAGTGAGCTCTGAGAAGTACATTCTGTTTTCCCATTATGCATCCCAAATCAGAGATCAGTTCCAAAGCTGCAAGAAAGTAGGCAGAAAACTCACAGCTTAAAAATTATTAATATGACTAGTGGCCCATTGCACAAAAGGTGTGCACATTAAAAGGGAATTAATTAGAGGAAATATTTTAATATTGCTACTTGCCCTTTCTCTATACTAGAAGTGTCAGAGATGAAAGAAAATTAGTAAAATGTATATGAAAATCTTCCTCCTGTCAGAGTCTGGGGCGCGCTGCGGGAAGGGAATCAAAGTCAAGTCCCCACCCACCCATACGCACCTCAAAATCGTGTGAGACCCAGACCCAGTTGGACCCACCCCCATTGGGCTAGATCCAGACCCAGCCGGCCACTGGGTGTGGCCTCAGGTCACCTGGCCCAGTATCAGGGTTTGGGGGAGAGCACCTTGAGGTCCAGTGGCCCGGGCCAGGAGGCGCAGCCTGAGGTCTCCCGTCAAGCCCAGCAATCTAATCCAGTCCGTCTAGTTTCTAACTTCTGAATAATCTGATATGCAGCTCCTGCTGAAACCATCCTATATCCCTGGTTCATGCCTCCTCTGAATCCAGAAATAAGGACAAAGGATAAGAAAAATTAACAGATAATTCTTCTATTTCTTACCCCAACCAGGGGACCACCTAAGTTTCAAATGAATTTCCCACATTTAAAGATACAGAGGACTATACGGTGATTCATTACTTGCCTCAGGATTGCTTCTAATCACTTACAAAAATACATGCACAGGGAAAACAATTTAACCTTCCTGATCCTTAACACCTAAGAACTAGCAAGAACTTAAACTTTCTCCTTACCACTTGACACTTTCCTGCAGAGAAATGAAACCCCATTTAACATGTGTACTTGATAAAAATAAAATCCTTCTCCCAAGCAGTTACATATACCAAAATGTCAGCAAACAGCGAAATGTCTCAAACAGAAATAAGCCCTTCTCAAAATAAACCCAAGAACAGCAGGTGAAGACATTGCATTCCTAACAGCTCTTTTCCTTCCCTTCTCTATTCACTAAAGTATTTCCCTTTCCCAGAACAACCAAATCCATAAAACAGTAGCCCACTCGGGAACACGGGCTGAGAGCCAAACCAAGGATCACTTTGGGTTTAGCTGGTTCCTATAGAATTTGTGTAGCGTGACTGCCCTCTATTGTCCAAAATGGTTTCCACTGCAAACTTGAGGAGTGATCCTTGTGTATTTCTCCTAGTGATGTTTCCAGAAAGAAACACAATGCTGACTCTAGATAATACTTAAAGCAGAGAGGGCTTAGATTTAATCATCTGGGGGAAAGTAGTACTAAGTGTAGATTTTCATAAATGTAAACATTGGCCTCTAACAAATTAGGATAAATTTGAACAGCTGGCCTTGAGCTGTTCACTCATCTTTTTCAGTAACAATGATTTTAAAAGTAGAACATCAACTGTAATAAAATTGGCTATAAATAAATTCATGCATAAATTTATAACAATCCTATACCTTGAGTACTGCCCAGGACTCTTATCTTGGACCCAAGCTTTCTGTTTTCCTTAAAGCCTCGAACCCAGTACCAGGAGAGGAACCTTAAGAGGCACTTCAGTCCTGAGCTTCCCACGATGCCTCCAGCCACAGTAGGTCAGTCCATGTATAAAAGGGCTGATAAACATAGTAAGTGAACTCAAAATCATAATCACATAATCATGGTCACCCCATATCACATCTGTTGTCCGAAGGTTAATTAGGGAGGGAGAGAGGAAGGGAGGCAGGAGGGGGAACAGGAGGAAGAGAGAAAGAAAGGCAAGAACCCCACTAGCTGAAACAACAGAGACAAAATGATAACAAGAGTGGTCTCCTTTCCCAGCATTATAGACTTCGGGCATTACTTAACACCACCCATGTAAAACTCAAAGGGTAACACGAGCTAAATAAATGAGGCATGCAGCCCGAGGGCCACAGGTTTGACATGCTTGACTTGCACACATCCACGCCTCTCCCTCAGTAAGCTGTGGTTCTAGTTTTGGCAAATGCTCACAAAATTCAGAGTAGACACAAACCAACCATGAACCCGGCCTTAGGGAGGGGTGAGGGTGCTGCACTCAGAAGAGCATAACCCAGATTAAGGAAAGAAAGATAGTTTTTTAAGATGTTATGCTAGAACATAAGCTGTCATCAGTTCTCCACAAGGGATTTAAGCTGGTCTTAACAATTCTATGGCTTGAAGTAGGAAATACCTAGGGCAACTTTTGAACACTCAATTCTGATTCCAAAAGGCTTACAAATATGATTTCACATGAACAAAAGGGTATTGTACTTACTTACTCCTCAGAAACCCATCACAGTTATAACCCCAAACGTGCTTACCTGTCTCTGGGGACATCCAGAGCGGTGTTATAGTCTGGCGGACCTCCAGGTAACATGTTGAACAGCAGATGGTTTGTACCTCGATCCCACCTATTAAGAAATTAAACATGTAAGAGAATTAGCATGTTGATGATGAAGAAACAAAAACAAGAGTCAATCACTAGAAGACAAGTGGCAAGTATCCCCAGCTGGAAGCAGGCCACTTCTCAGGCAGCAAAGTGAGCCTCTAGCAATGCCAGAAGCACGTCGGGCCTTAGCCTGGAGCCTAGAAAGGGAAAAATGGGTTGCTTTGTACTCCAAGCTGTAAAAGTGCTCGATACCTGGAGAGCTGGGCCAGCGCTTGCGCTGTCTCCTTAATGCGGAGCATGTTCTGGTTCAGCACATCGATGGAGGGAACAAACAGGCAGGCCCGGTTGATGTCGTCGGTATAGTAGTCGCTGTCTGAGATGGCCGTGAGCAGTTCGTTATACTCCCGGGAGATGGTGTTGCTGACTGGGACGCCTGAGTCATCCACGTACTTCTTCAGAGAGTAGATAAACACCTTGATTTTGTTTTTTGGGTTGAAGCCACAGCGGTAGACGTCAAAACATGTGTGCATTCTGCAGCTGAGATCGCCCCGCTCGGGGATGGGACTGTCGGCCGGCAGCCTGACCACGGGCACGTCTCGGACACTGCGCTTCTCTACGCTCCAGTCGTTGGAGGATTCAATGGAATGAGGCCAGAACTGAAACACGCCAGTGGCAATGAGGCCCAGGAGGACGACGGAGAAGAGGGTGATGTAGTAGATTCGGTGCTTGATCTTCATCCTTGGGATGAGGGCAGGACCCCGGATATTGTACTTGACCGACGCACACATAATGGCACAGACAGCCTCTTCCTCACACTCCTGGTTACCAGGTCGAAAAGAGAGAAAAATAAAAGTATTTAAGCAAATGACAATAAAAAGAACTGTTTAACTTTCAATATACCTATTTCTTTCCCTTAAGTGGTTTGATGAAATAATGAAAAGGAATTTTGACCCTTCTTTGCCTAGATGAATATATGCTATGTGATATCTTTAATATTTAATACTACATATACTACTTAATATAAATATTGATATACAATGTTAAAATGCATCTATAGCCTATAAATATTTATTCACCAAAAGCAGAAGCTGGTAAATGTGTGGGGCCTAGGAAGCGGGGTGCTGACTAGAAAGAGAAATCCACAGTGGAATAGCTAAAGACTGTCGTTTTGTTTTGGTTTTAAACATTGCCCACCATAAACTGTTGCTTCAGCTGGACACATGATCTTGATTATTCTAAAATTTGTTTTCGTTCATTTCTTCATCCTACCCCCTATTAAGCAGCTGGCATGCACTGTGAGGAAACAAAGAAGAAAGCAGAGACCCCACTTTGAGGAAAGTATGTTCTAGTAAGGGAGATAAGACTAACAAAACTGTAACAAAATGCCAAATACAGAAATACCACTAGAAAATATCAATAAAGTGGCAAGGGTAGTAGAGAAGAAAGGATTATTCTTTAATAAAATACAAATTGATGGCAGCAGACACAATTAAATGGAAATAAGGAATGGAGAAAGGAATGGGAGGGAGAGTGATGCCAATACTTCTTTTCATCAGTAAATGTGCAGGCCACTTTTCCAATCAAGAGATGCAACCTATTTCCCTTCCGGCTGAATCTGGGCTAGTCCTGTGACTGACGGAATGTGCCAGAAGTGAGTCCCCGCCTAAAGAGACCCTATAGTTGCTGCTTTTGTCCTCCTGGAGCCCAGCTGCCACGCTGTAAGGAAGCAGCGCTCCCAGTGAGGGCAACCTCAGAAAGACCCCAATGCAAATGTGAAGCAGACACAGACCATCTCACCCAGCGCTACAGATTGTAGAATCCTGAGCAAACAATGACTGATTTTTTTGTTTGTTTTTTAAATATATTTTATTGATTTTTTACAGATAGGAAGAGAGAGAGATAGAGAGCTAGAAACGTCGATGAGAGAGAAACATCAACAAGCCGCCTCCTGCACATGCCCTACCCGCATGTGCCCGCAATCAATGTACATGCCCTTGACCGGAATCGAACCTGGGATCTTTCAGTCCACAGACCAACGCTCTACCACTGAGCCAAACCGGTTTCGGATGATGTTGTTTTTAAGCTACTAAATACTGGGTTGATTTGTTACTCAGCCATAGCTAAACGAACCAGCCAATAAGCACACTGATACAAAGAAAAGTCTTAGTCCGCTACTGAAAATGTAGAGTTCCTCTGTAAATCGAAACTTAAGATACTTATCAAATAAACCTATATGCACAAGTAAACCTATAAAATATTTTTAATATATTTTATTGATTTTTTATAGAGAGGAAGGGAGAGAGAGAGCTAGAAATGTCGATGAGAGAGAAACATCGACCAGCTGCCTCTTGCACACCCCCCACCGAAGATGTGCCCGCAACCAATGTACGTGCCCTTGACCGGAATCGAACCCGGGACCTTTCAGTCCGCAGACCGACGCTCTACTGATGAGCCAAACCGGTTTCGGCAAACCTATAAAGTATTTACAACACAACAGAGACTATTCAAATATCTCCATCCCAGGTCTCACGCCTGAGTTCAGCAGAAGCAGCCTGTGTAAGCTGTGCATTCAGCTCCCTTTGCAGTTCTGCCACAATTCTGACTAAATTTTGGGTCTGATTTCAATACAGTCTGCCTGCCAGCTGCAAAAGATGCTGCCATACAGCCTTGTCTTTCACAGCGTTGATATCTGGCTGATCTGAAATTGATCTTATCTCAAGGCCTCTAAAGGAAATAAAAAAGAATAAGTCAATTCTACTGTTCTTATCATTATCGTTCCCCACATACTGGTCAAGTGCCAGAGCTTGTGCTTTCTCTTCTCCCTGAATCTCATCCCCACACACCACTGGTGAGTCTTACAATTGTGACAGTAGAGTACCAGGGCTTATCAACCCCTCATTACCAGCAAAGGGGTCCTGTTGCCATCTGAGGATGAGTGACTGTAGTTTCACCAACTACTCTCAGAGCCTCCTTTCTAGAGCCACTGCTACCGTGTTTCCCTAAAAATAAGACCTAGCGCAACTTTGGGAGAAAAAATTAATACAAGACACTGTCTTATTTTCGGGGAAACTAGGTAGTAGCAACTGACGTAGTACATGTTCTGCCAAACTCAGAAGTGACTTGTGTGCAAGCAAGTAGCTCACAGAAGTAAGAGAAAAAGCCAGAGTGGAGTCAAGAGAAGAACAGAAAGCCATTAGGAGGGTTACCATACTACGCTGGGCAAATGGGGCTCAGTCCTGCTAGGATCCCTCTGGAAAATGCACCCTAGAACCCTCCCTCTGAAGGATAGGGAGCCATGCCATTCACCCACCAAGGTCCACCCCCTACTGACTGAGGGCTATTCCCGGAAATGTACACTCACGTTTCTAAACGTCTGCCTACACAGGCCCAGCAAGCTCCCACAAGTCAGTGCCAACAAGCTGAGAGATGTGGCAAGGGCTTGAGACAGAATAAAAAATCAGTGAGAGAGATAAGGTTAAAAGCCTCAAATGAAAAAGAAAAAAAAAATGAGAAATGAAGAAAACAGCCCATAAGTGGTTAGAGATAGAGAACCTTCTCTGAGAGTATCCACATACCTTTGACATACTTCATGAGGCACTTGCTACATTAATTAGTTAAGTAATTGCATGTCTGTCCCCTCTTCTTGCAGTCAGAGTTTTTCCTTTCTGCCCAGTATTCTCAGCCTCAAATGCTATGTCCAGAACGCATTTCGTTAAACCACAAAGTCTGCTGAAGGAATGTGTGTCTCTATCCTTCCCAGTTCCATCAGTGCACACACTATTTAGGGCCGAAGTTTTGAGATATTATATGGTGATGATTCTTTTCTTTCTTATTAGTTTCCAAAGGGGGGAAAATGACTAGGTACCTAACTTTCTGTGCCCTCCCTGTCCTCCTCAGGGAAGCTCATTGTTAGGAGAGAGGGCAGACCAAAGGAAATCTCATACTGATGCGTGTTTGTTCCATATAATACCATAACCTGAATCAAAACGGGAATTTCACAACAAAGCTCTACAAACTTTACCCTCCTTGAATCACATCAGACCTGTCCCTGCAAAACACTGGAACTGTCTGGCTGGCTGTCAAGCTCTGAGTCACTGGAAAAAGCTGTTAGCCCCATTCTACTGTCCGGATGAGATGCATTTTCTGTTCCTGGAATTATTTAATCCCAAAATTTGCCTAAATAACCTTTCCTTGGTGCTATAGGCGACAACCAATCCAGTTGATCCAATGCTCTGAGTCACAACCTCTTATCTTAACCTTTTTAGAAAAACACTCCCAGCTGAACTCCTAGGGCCACTGGGACAGAATTTAGCCAAACTGTGCCTGAAAACAAAGGAAGCAAATAGCAGCAAAATTCGCAACTCATTGCCATGCCCCACAGAGTTCTTCATAATAAAGTTCTATTGTGATTCACCAGCCCTAAAAATGGTTTCCAATTAAACAACTACAAAAAAGTGTGCCTTTGTTAGTGGGATTATACAATAATCCAGTCAATGCATACGTTAAGTAACTAATAACTAAACTTTACTGAGAATTTACTGCATGCCAAGATCTGTCTTAAGCACTTTAACATATTTAATCTTCCTAACGGTGCCATTTGAGAGGCTATTATTATCCTCAGTGTACAAGCAGGTAAAGTTTATAATAACTCACAGCAAGGCTCAGTCAGGTGCCCAATGGCACACCACCAGAAAATGCCGAGGCCAGATTTGGCATATTGATTAATATAATCAATACTGGCAGTCCGGCTCTGGAGCCTGGTTCTTCACACGTGAAGCTGCCTCCCTGATTACCTTTCAAAGCCTGGGTTAGGGAACCCTTTTTCACTCCTCCATGAGCCCAGCCGGCATAACCTGACGGAAGAAAATCTATCCATTCATACCAGCATACACAACCAGAAGGCCTATATGAGCGGACGTGAGAATGACGGAAACTGAATCACAGATGTCATTACCGGGAGTAGCTTTTGAGCTCTGAAATTTACCAAGCCCCGTTATAGTCCTTAGAGAACTTCCCTGAGTTCATTAAAAAACGGACTCGAGCAATACTATTTGCGTCTCCACACGTTTCCAGTCCGCAGATCTATAATAGTTCCCAGCGCCAGTAGGAAAACTCCTGATGCCCCGAAGCTTCAAAGTGGATGCCGGAGCCCCCAGGCCACCTTCCCCACCTGCTCCCCCTCCCGGGGTGGGTGGGGCACAGGGCACGGGGTCCTGCCCGCGGCGACCCGCTCTGTCCTGGATGCCACAGGCCCCCCGCGGAGCCCAGAGCACAAGAAACCCCCGTGGGAGGAAGCAGGTCCCCGGAGCTCGCGGGGAGGGTGGGAGAGGCCACGGCGGAGGCGGGGAGAGGAAGCGGCGGAGAGAGCAGTGGGCGGGGACACAGGTGGGAACCCAGGGCAGAGCGGCCAGGTGCAGAAGGGGAAGGCGGCCCCGAGCGGTAAGTGGTCGTGAGCGGCCCAGGGGGTGGGGGCGCCTCCCGCAGCCCCCGGGCCTCCGCACGGCCCCGGCTTTCCCGGCGGCCCGGGGAGGCCCGAGCCCGGCCGCAGCGCCCGCTGGCCCTTCCGCGCGGCGCTTACCTCGGCCACGGCTGCCTCCCGCTCGGCCCCGCGCTCGGTCACCGGCTCATACCGCAGGGCAGGGGCCACGGCAGCCCGGGAGGGATCGCGGCGAGTCGGCGGCCACCACCGCGGGCGCCAGGGCTGCGCGAACGAGCGAGGAGTGCTGGGCCGGCGGCCGGGCTCCTCGGCGGCTGACAACTACCGCACTGCGCATGCGCGAGCGCCCGGGCCCGCGCCCCCTGCTGGACAGGAGGAGTCAGGGCACCGCTTAGGTTTCTGCGGGCGGGCGGGCGGGCGCGTCCTGCTCAGGCTCCGCGGAGAAACTCAGTTAGGCAGCCTTGTTCATAATTAAAGAAACTACCAACCGAAACAATGAGGCAGCATGCTTCACTTATAAAACGTCTAGAGCCGGCAAAAATGTAATCTTTGATTATAATCAATACTGGTGAACGTGCAACATCCCTGGGAGGCAACTGTCAGTCAGTATCCATTACGTAAGTAAAATGTGGGAATCTTACCCTAACAGCCCTCTGTATGAAGTTTACCCTGTGGATATTCTTAATAATGTTTATCAAAGATATGCATTGCAACATGATTTCTAATAATAGCAAAAACGTTGGATACAACCTAAATAAATTATGGAACATGATTAGAATGAAATAATACAAAAATGCATATATGCGCATTGGTATGGAATTATCTTCAAGATATGTTCAGATGAAAGCATGGCCCAAAACAGTGGGCAAGAATGACTCCTTTTATGTTAAAAAGTAAAACAACTTGGGAGACAAAGTATATGATTATTTTAAGGCATATGTAGAAATTAACAATTATGAGGAGAGCGATTGTGGAGGAAGAAATGGGGGAGAGAAACTTTAATTTTCATTTTGTTTTTGTATTATTTATAACCTAGCCTTCTACGTGTTAGTAAAATTCTTGTCATAAGGTAGTAAGTGGAGCCTAAAAATGTCAATCAAAAGTCAGTGATGTTACTGAGAAATGAATGAAATGACCCACTCGCAGAGCCTATGCCATTTCCTGATACTGGCTGCAGAATCCACATCTATTTCTGGTCCCAGCTATACCTTTAGCGCCATCTGGTGGAAGTTGTCACTTCCACTCCAGACTCACTGGAGCTTCCAGCAGCAATGGTGATTTCAGAAATACTCTTGTGAACCAATGCCTGCTTGTCACAGATCCAGGGAGATTGGGACGAGAGTATTCTGTAGATGGAATACTTCCACGTCTCCACACCCAAGAAAGCAGTTCTTAGCATTCCAAATCCACACCCCCCCCCTAAAATAATAGGAAATTTAGCACACAAATACCCCAATATAGAACTGGATTAGTGGAGAGCATTTTGTTTTCTTCTGTCTTTCTCTGTATTAAATATATACATGTTTTTAATTAATCGTTTTTTCATTAAATGAGAACTTTGTGTTAAAGACCTGTGTTGGGCACAGCCTTTGAGAACCTATCTTGTTTACTTTATAACGGAGGCATGCATAGTAATGTTCAGTGACTCTTTTTTGAATGAATAAAGGGAGCCCCAACTTGGAAGTGCTCAATATCAAGACGACAAATGAACAAATAAGATTAGCCAAAGCAGAGGGTGAAAGATGGCCTAGGAGGTTATAAACAAAATGCTACAAGACTCAGAAGAGAAAGGAGCCCTAGCTGGTTTGGCTCAGTGAATAGAGCATCGGCCTGTGGGCTGAAGGGTCCCGGGTTCGATGCCCGTCAAAAGCATGTTCTTCAGTTGCAGACTCCTCCCTGGCCCATGCAGGAGACAACCAATCTATGTGTTTCTCCCACATCAACGTTTCTCTCTGTCTTTCCCTCTCTCCCACTCTCTAAAAATTAATGGGGAAATATCCTCTGGTGAGGATTTTTTTAAAAGAAAGAGAAAAGGCAATCACATCCTGTTGGAAAGATGTAGGAAGACTTCATGCTGACATATTTGCTGGTCTGGAAGACATTTAGGATGTTGATAAGTAGAGAGGTCAATAGGGCATTCCAGGAAGAGGAAAAAGTCATGAACAAAAGATCTAAAGAGGGAGAAGCAAATAAACTGATGATCAAAAATAGACCCAGTGTCATAGAAGCATAAACAAGCCTGTTGAACCTCAGAGGGGAAGCAGAAGAGTATGGGTGGGAAGAGATCAACCAATGAACTTGTCTGCATCTATGCATAACCCACTGGGACACAGACAATGGGGTGGTGAGTGCCTGGGGCCTGGGGGAGGATGGGAGTAGGCTAGAAGAGGTTAATGGGGGAAAGGAGGACCTATGTAATACTTTCAACAATAAAGATTTTTTAAAATATATTTTTTTGATTTTTTTTTACAGAGAGGAAGGGAGAGGAATAGAGAGCTAGAAACATCAATGAGAGAGAACATCGACCAGCTGCCTCCTGCACACCCCCGACTGGGGATGTGCCCTCAACCAAGGTACATGCCCTTGACTGAAATCGAATCTGAGACCTTTCCGTCCACAGACCGATGCTCTATCCACTGATCCAAACTGGTTTTGGCAACATTTTTTTTTAATAAAAAGCAATAAATAAAAATAAGGAATCAGATTTAAAAAAAAAAAAAAAAAAAAAAAAAAAAAAAAAAAAGGAGAAGCAATTGGAAAGAACAAGTCTGGGTAATCCAGTGTGGTTAAATAATATGGCTACATTTCTAGGGGTAGACACTATACAAGTAATTGGAGGTGAGAAAGTATAGAAGCTGTGGTATTAGAAGCTACACAAAGCTAAAGAAGCCAAGGATGACTGCAGAGAAGGAAAGAAAATATGATTCAGGACCTAAAGTCTCTGAAAAGGTAGCAAAGTGTCCTAGAAGTTGGTAGTTAAAAAAGGAGAGGCTATTACCATACGCACTTGGAAGGTACAGGACAAAGCAAAGATGGCACTGAGTCAGGAAATGTGAAGCAGGAGTGCTTTCAAAGAAAGTGGCATCATGAGAGTGCAAAGAGCACAGGATTTGGAATCAAACTACATTGACTTTGAATCCTGGCTGATTCTTTTTAGCTATGTGACTTAGGGAACATCACTCCATCTCTTTGAGACTCAGTGTCCTCATCTCTACAATGGGGGATATTAATGACTGTTTCCCAGGCACTCACTATGCCAGAGTTAGGAATAATACATGGAATTAACCCAACACAGTCTCTGGCACATTGAAGGCATTCAAGAAAGGACAGGGAGGAGAAATGAATGAGGAAGGAAGGAAGGAAGGAAGGAAGGAAGGAAGGAAGGAAGGAAGGAAGGAAGGAAGGAAGGAAGGAAGGAAGGAAAGAAGGGAGGGAGGGAGGGAGGGAGGGAGGGAGGGAGGGAGGGAGGGAGGGAGGGAGGGAGGGAGGGAGGGATTGGTTCTAAACCAAACAGCATGTTGACAGAAAGGAAATGCTGATTTCACCAACATTCTCTTAAAAGAACAAGGAAAGCTTTTCTAAACAGGAGTGGCGGGCCCTGGCTTGGTAACTCCATTGGTTGGAGCATTGTCCCCATACACCACGGTTAGGGGTTTGGTCCCAGATCAGGGTACATACCAATGAGTATCAACCAACAAATGCATAAATAAGTGGAACAACAAATCAGTGTTCTTCTCTTTAAAAAAAAAATTCTTTTTCAGTAAATTAAAATAAATAAATAAATAATAAACAAAAAAACAGAAATGTCGGCACTAAGAAGGGTCCTCAGCACGTGGCTTCAAAGGCGATCGGCAAGCTCATTTGGGCTCCGGAAGGGAGGTAGGGTGGGTGGCTTTTTGTGCTCGAAGAGTGGGATGCCCAGCCTTGGTCAGCCTGTCTCCACAGCAGCCTCCATTCAGGGTCCAGCCCCACACCACCATCCCCCCTCCCCCCCACCCCCACAGTCATGGGCAGGTCACTCAGGTTGGAAATCGTCAGTGAAGGTGGCTCCTTCCCAGGGAGGAGAAGGAAGAGCATCCCAGCATCAGAGAAGCCTCGCCTGACTCTCACCACGGGGTCCTGTACACCTGACCCCAAATAGGCTGTCCCAGGTCCCAGGTCCCTGGCCCCAGGTCCACAGATTCTAAGTGTGTGGAGCACAATCTGAACATGTAGAATTCAGTCCTTTCTCCTTATAGTTTGGAAATTGTCACTCTTTCTTATTTGGGTGGTGTACTCTCTCTTACACATGTTGTTCCTTTGAGTTGTTTCCCTGGCAACGAAGGAGGAAGAGGGAAAAGACTGCTATAAAGAAGGCACAGGCTGCTTGCTTGCTTTTCATGGCCCCAGAGGGCTGAGGGCAGTCGCAACTCCTCCATTCTATGAATCACTCACACAGAGGCTTCTAGTTCCTCCCAGTTTTGTTTAATAGAATGGGAAGGGATCAAACATAGTCTTCACTGGCACTGAGAGAGCCGAGTGAAGAACAGTTCTTCAGGGTCAGGGCTATCTTCCTGGCCAACGGCTCAGCCACAACCAGTCTTGGAAGCCCTGAGCACCTCAGGTGGGCAGTACTGGCCACAAGGCAGTGGCCAGCTCAGTTGTGCTGGCCCGTTGGCTCCTGGGTCTGAGAGGAAGGGGGGTCTTCTAGCATCTGGGGCGCGCCCGTGAGCACCTTCCGGACCCTCTGCATTCCTGAGGAGGGTTAGTGAGGGCCCGGTCAGCACTGATGGCTGGCTGGCTGGGTGGGTGGGTGGGTGGGTGGGGAGGAATGGCTCAGGCCACTGGGTCAGCCGTGAGGCCGGAAGAAGGCAGGCAGGAAGGAAGGAGACAGTGAGGAGGGGGGCTCCGAGGGCAGACCGCTCACCCAGGCGGAGCCGGTGGGCCTTGTCCGAGAAGACCAGACGGAACCACCCGGGCTCCTTACACTCGAAGGCTTCGCCGAAGGACACCAGCACCTTGTTGTCCAGAAAGCGACGCCACAGCAGCCTCTCCTCCTCGAAGGTGGCCTTGGGCAGGTGCTGGGAGGGCAGGCGGAGGGGCTCAGGATGTGGAGGAGACTGCCCCCTCCTCGCCCTGATGGAGGGAGGCTTACGTCCCCTCCCCGCCTGCATTACCTTCCTCAGGTCGGCCCAGATGAAGAAGCCTGCACCCCGATTCAGGAAGGGGATCCCCAGACCCCTAAGCTCTCCGGAGACATAGGCGTGAGCAGCCTTGAGCCGGGCATGGTTCTCGGGCAGGTACACCTGGTTGATCCAGTCTGTTTGGGCGAAAGAGAAGCCAAACCGTAACTCCCCCATCGACCCTCCACTCTCCCTTGAGACTAAAATGCTGAAAAGAAAAGGTCACTGGCAGACAACACTGGGGGAGCCCCTCCTCTAGCTGGTTGATTGAGGGAGATGGGAATATCGTTTTGGGGGTAAAGCACCTTAAATCAGGTCACTTGGCCCTGACAATGCCAGGTCCCGCTGACAGAGTCCTTCAAGATATAGACCCTATTCCAAGGCCCCCAAGTCACACCAGCACGGCCTCTGACAAGGTGTGGGAAAGTTCACCTCCCTGATACTTTTTTTTTTTTTTTTTTTTTTTTGTATCCCATTCCATGAATTTTCGCACACAGATAGATTTTAATAACCACTCTCCCGGACAGGATACGGAGCAGTTCCCTCACCCCAAAGGACACCCCCGTGCTATCTTTACAGTCCCATCATCCCCTTCCCCACAAACTCTGGTTTGTTCTGTCACTTCTTCAGGATGTCATAGCCGTGGAATCACACAGTCACGCCATCTTTTGAGACTGGCTTCTTGTGCTCAGGCTATGTCTTTGAGATTAATCTGCACCGTCGGGGATTTCATGGCAGAGTGACGCCCTGCCGTGTGGACAGCCACTGTGTGTTTCTCCATTACTCAGCAGGAGGCATTTGGGCTGTTTCCAGTTTAGGAGACGATGAAGAGAGCAGCTACAAACATTCACGTAGAGCTTTTTGCATGAAGGTAAATTCCTAGGAATGGGCTTGCTGGGCCATTGGGCATATAACTTTAAAAGCAACTGCCAACTGTTTTTCCTAAGTGGCCGCACCATCTCACATTCCCCCCAGCGCGGCAGGAGCATTCCAGCTGTCTGTGTCCTCACCAACATTGATGCTGTCACTATTTTTAAAATGTTAGCTATTATAGCCGATATGCAGTATCTGGTCCTCATTTTCCTCATCTATAAAATAATGGGGAAAATACAGGAATGCCTGCCTCCTAGGATTCTGGGAGAGACAATGGAGATGACAAATTGGGAACATCTACTTGAGCTCAATACATGGGGGCAATTACAGGTCCCTTTACTACCTGAACTCGCTATGTGAGCCTGGGAATGGAACAGACCCCTGCGGAGACACGCAGAGACTTCTCTCTGTCTCTTTCCATTAGTATCTTCTGCTCTAACAGCTAATAATAATGAGTTTACATCGACTAAGTGCCTGTTATATGCCAGCTACTATTCTAATTGAATGAAAAATCACTTTAGCCCTATAAGATTATGTTCCCTGTTTCATAGATTAGGATCCCTGTTTTACAGATGAGGAAAGTGAGGCTCAAGGAGGTGAAGGACTGTGCCGCCTCCCAGCCAGGAAGTGACTGAGTAGGGTATGAACCCAGCCTGGGCCCCCAGCCAGTACTCCCACACACCATCCTAAATTCTTCTCATGCACGAAGCATCCATGATCCCTGGCCAGTCCCAGACCTACTCCAACCCTCCCTCTCCCTTCTCAGGCGGCCAGGCCCAGGCAGTCACCGCGGTCCTGGAGCAGCTGTGCCACCTGGTGCTGGACCAAGCCGCTGAGGCCATGGTAGCGGCAGAGGGAAGCCACCGCAGTGGCCACGTCCTGATTCTCTGTGTACAGCGTGCCAAAGCGGAGCCCGGACATCCCGAAGTCCTGCAGGAGAAAGACGCCCGAGGCGGTGGCCGGCCCTCCACAGACAGAGCCGGTTCTACCCACCTCTCCGCCCTCCCGCCTCCCTGACACCCTAAGGCCAGCCAGGGACCCACCTTGCTGGTGGCCCACATCACATGGGTCCTCTGAGGGTCAGGCAGCCTGCAGAGAGCACAGTGTGGGGATGGAGGCAACACAGACCCCGCGGGAGCTCACACGTGGGGTGGAACACAGGAGATGGATGGGTGAATCTGGTTCTGGGTGAAGCCCTGGTTTTGTCTCTTGAATCCCCAACTCCCAAGCATCCTTGAGAGTGGGGTTCCGCAAACTACAGCCTGCAGGCCACATCTGGCCTGCTGCCTGTTTTCACAAGTAGTTTTATTGGGAAAGAGCCGCACTCTTTCATGGATGTACCCTCTACGCTGCTGCTTTGGCGCCAGCTGAATGAGTAATCACATGGCCTGGAAAGCCTAAAATAGTCACGTGACCTAAAAGTGCTTGCCAACGCCTAATCTAGAGCAGAACTCACACATCACTTCCTCAAACAGACCTCCTCTGACCACCTCCCAGCAGACCTGGCCAAGTGGGTAGCCCAGGTCGATCCTCCAGGGACTCCCGGGCTTCTCCATGTTAGCACTGAATCAAATGACTAGCCGTGTGTGTAGCCGCTAAAATGTTGTGTGTTTTTGGTTGTTGTTTTTTCTGGCTAGAATTAAAAGTTCTATGTAGAAAGGGTCTATGTCTCTCTTGTTGGTTGATGCATCCCCAGCGTCTCACTTTTCTAATCCATGCTTTTCCTGCGTCTCACTTTTCTAATCTATGCATAAAGCCCATGCTCCCTGCCCTTGGCAAAGCTGTGGGAGAACTGGCTGAGAGAAGGGACATAGCAAGGCCTGAATAGAGATCAGACACTGATAGATTCTCTGAATAGCAGATTTACAGACTTCACAGGTGATCTGGTCCAAGTGTTTCCAAAAGTATTTTGGCCATAAATTCTGGGCTTAAATTTAATGAAAAAGTCCAAATACCCAGAAGTGGCTCCAGAGTATTTGCTGAATAAATGAGTGAATGAATGAGTGGATCTGGAACTACTTTGCGGATGAAGGAAACAGCAAAAGCCAAGCCACCCCCTTGCAGCTCTCAGAAACCCCACAGAACAATTTGACAACCACCGATCTGGCCCAGTCCTCCCCTGTTCTCGTTAGGGGCTCTGAGATTAACTGGCTGGGGCAGGCCATGCCCTGGGGCTGAGCCACAGAGGGGCCAGGGCAGGGGGCAGGATGGGGGACATGGGGAGTGCAGAGTCAGCTCTGATGTGGCAGCCTCACCTTTCCAGGCTCAGAACACTGCGGTAACCAAGCGACTCCTCAAATACAGACAGCATGTAGACCTCATCCATCACCACGTGCAGCTCATGCCTGTGGGAGTGGGGAGGGGGGGACGTGGGGGAGAGGTAGGGGAAGGAAGGAGAAAGAGCTTGGTTTATGAATTCAATGCATCCCCCAAGGCAGGGTGTCAGTGACCCAGAAATCCAGAGGGACGGGATCTAGCCCAGGGTTCCCAAACTTGTTTCATTCAGGAACAATCTGCTGTTGACTATATCTTTCAAATGCACAGGAAGCCACATACACAAGTAGATGACATGGGGCTTTTGAAGCGCTGTGGGGCAGAGGCGGAGCCCTTGGGCACCCCACGGAGGAAGGACACAGTTAAGTGCAAGACAGTTACATACAAACAGACCTAGATTCAGACTGGCTTCCCTCTGACCTTCTCCCCCCCTTCCCCGGCAACACACACACACACAATAGACTCAGTAAACTGAGGGTAACAACAGTATCTGTACCTAACTGGGTAACTGGGAGGATTAGGTGAGATGGAGTACAGGAAGTGCTTAGCCAGGTGTCTGGCCCCAAGACTATACAGTAAATGATAGTTGTTACAAAGTGGGAGAGAAAACATCCCACTAACCGCTACCTCCCACCCTACTGCCCGAAAAGCCAAAGCACGTGGGAGCCACAGTGGAGAAAAGAGGATAAAGGGCCTGCCCCAAAGCCTGCGCCAGAACCCTCATCTGCCAGATGCTTTGTAGGGTGAATGTGGGGTGCCTCACCTCTTGGCAAACTCCAAGTACTCCTTCAGCTCTTCTGGGGAGTAGATGTCACCCAGAGGATTCTGGGGGTTGATGAGGATGAGGCCTTTGACCTTCACACCCTGAAACCACCAGAGGGCAGGACGCCATCAGCTCCTCCCAAAGGCCAGAGCCGAATGAATCCCAGGGTGGGGCTGGTGGCTGGGCAGGCCCCCAGGGACATGTGATGGGACCGTGTTCACCACCCAACAGGAAGCGAACGAGGGCAGAGAACTACATCTGCAGCATCGTGTCAGCCATGAAAGAAAACAAGAGCAGAGAACACAGCCTGGAGGGAAATATGCCCAGATGGCCAGCAGGGGTTGCCTTTGTGGGTAGAATTATGGGAGGGAGTTGCACTTTTAAAATTCCCTCAGTGCCGAAACCGGTTTGGCTCAGTGGATAGAGTGTCTGCAGACTGGAAGGTCCCAGGTTCGATTCCGGTCAAGGGCAGGTACATTGGTTGCCGGCACATCCCCAGTAGGGGGTGTGCAAGAGGCAGCTGATCTATGATTCTCTCTCATTGATGTTTCTAACTCTCTATCCCTCTCTCTTCCTCTCTTAAAAAGTAAATAAAATATATATTTTAAAAATAAATAAATAAAATAATAAAATTCCTTCAGTGGTCAAGTACAGCTTTGATTACTACAGTAAAAAAAGGAAAAGTTGACAGACTGTTGAAAAGTGGACTGAAAAGGAATGGCTGGAGGATCCCTGCTCTCTGCCTCTCTCCGGGAGGCCTCAGGTCCCCCCAGAGGGAGGACCACCTCCTCAAATGGCCAGGGAGGCTGCTGAGTGTCAGACTGACCTGCTGCAGCGGAATCAGGTGACGAGGGATAATATTTTTAATCACATTCCCTGGTTGATGATTCGTACACTGAGGCCTCAGAGTCTTCCTCTAGGACAGAGGTAGGAAACCTTTTTGCTGCCAAGGAGGGCCATTTGGATATTTATAACATCATTCGCAGGCCACACAGAATTATCAACTTAAAAATCAGCCTGCCCATATGTGGTCAAACATTTAATTAACTCATTAATTAATGCCTTGGCAGGGCCAGACCAAATGATTTCACAGGCCTTATGTGGCCCTCAGACCTGCAGTTCCTCACACCGGCTCTAGGGGAAAGACTCTCCATGGGCAGGCTCTGGCTTGGCCCCCAGAACGGTGCCTACCCCCATCTCATCACAGAGTGCCACCCCTACTCGGAGTAGACCAGCCACAGGAAGAGGGGTCTGTGCCTGGCTCGGATCCACCCACGCCAAGCCTTGGTTTGGTTTGATCCCAGACCTTAGCATTAGCTCCTTTCAGGGCCACCTCCAGCTTCTCCACTGTGAGCTGGAAGGGGCGTGTGTCCAGCTCAGTGACCTGGAACAAGATCCACAGTCAAAATCAGTGACCCCACCCACACCCCTCTCAAACCCATGAACTCTGGAGGCTCTCCTGCCCATCATCTCCAGCTTCCTTAGAATAGTCTCAAAAAAATACAGGTGGGGTCACTCCTCTCTCACTGCCACCAGCACCCACCCCAGCACCACACCAGGGACATCCTCATCACTACTAGGCTTCAGGAAGAGGCCCAAATGTCCTCAGATTGGGGTCCATGGACTTCCATGTTGAGGTCTGCCCTGCCCCATCCTCCCCCCCGCCATCTTGGTGTGGTCCCCTGGGATTGCCCTTGGCTTCTCCTAGTACATCAATCCCAGGGATCTCAGAGCTGGGAGAATGGGAGGCCCCGGGAACCCAGGAACTGGCCACGGGCAACAGAAGCCTCTACTCTTCTTTCAGCCATAGCCCCCGAGCCCTCAGCATGGACATTCTCCCATGTCCACCCTCAAATTCAGATGCAGTAAAGTCTTGACCTGCAGGAACCCCTACCTGGGGTTCCAGGAACTCTTACCTCGCTGTTCAAATAGACATAGACCAGTCGGACGTTGCCATAGAGATAGACGTGCTGAGTGATGGCTCCATAGTAAGGGGCAGGGATCAGGAAAGCCTCTAGGGGGCAGGAGTGGGCCAGGGCTTGTGACCCGCTGGCTGGAGCTCATGGACCCCCTGTCCATTCACCCCAGCCGCTCTAAGCCTTCAATGATCTTGGAGAACATTTGCGGCAAGCTCCCTCTCTCTACTCCCAAAACTCTTTCTAGAGCTGGGCTCCACTAAGAACAGTTCCTTATCTAAAAATCAGGAGCTAGTATTTACTGAGCACTTATGTGCTGGGAACTGTGCTAAACATTTATTTGCATTGTATCTCATCAGATCCTCATAGTCACTCTGTGAAGTAAGTACTATTGTCCCCCTAACTTTACCAATGAGGAGACTAAAGCTTAGAGGATCCCACTGAGGCACTCAGCATGGGGGGGGGGGGGGGGGGAGGGTCACTCTAAGGAGACTTGGACCCATGAGTCAAAGCTGCAGGGTAATGATCTGGGCTCAGCGAGTGGGAAACCTGACAACATATAAAACTGCCCAGAGATATGATATGCTGTTTCCCGAGGACAAGGATCTCCACCCCTGTGGGCATTCACACAAAGGCTGAGAGCATCTGGAGAGGATGTCACGCAGAGACTCCAGCTGTGCGTGGGGGTTGCTGAGATGACTGTAAGCTCTACTCTAACGGAGAGCTAAAGGCATTCCTCCACTTCTGAAGAGGACACAGAGGTCAAGCGACTCTCGCTTTCCAGTTTTCCGCTAGCACTGTCCACTCGACGCACTGCTAAAAAAAGGGCAGCCTTTGTCCTACGCGTTCCTCTCCCCAGCCTCAGGGATTGGACCAGAGCGAGACAAATGACCCAAGTGGCCAAGCCACTGGCTGACCGGAAACCCGCCACATCTTCTCCCTCAAGACTTTGCTCTGAAAAGTACAGACTTGTGAGGACGTGAACTTGAATGGAAAGGCCATGTGGAGTGACAGCTGGACCAGCACCACTGGACAATATAAAACCCAGAAAAGGCCTGAAAGTGGCGGGAGAGACTGCATATCCCAGTGAGAGATAGAGTTCCACTTGACCCCATTCATGATTGCCCTAGAATGGGAAGGAAATGTTAGTAATGTTATCATTACTGATGATGATAGCCTGGGTGGGCCTCAGTTCCCAGCAACCAATAATTCCTGACCATGACTACGGTCCCTGTGTTCTCGGCCCGACTGTGTAGCTCATGCCAACTGACTTATTTCAGCCCCCCGTAGGCTAGTAGTCTATTATAGCCAAAAGCATTCTGAGGCAGCCCTCGAGGACAGGCAGCTGGGACTCTGCAGGCACACAGCAGCTCCCAGTGCTAAGCGGGCCATCATCCACTTACCCCCAACCTCACACAGCACCGTGGCCAGAGCAGAGAAAAGAGAGGAGCAGCCATTCAGGACAACCACCTGGGGGTGACACATGCATGGGACAAAAGTGAGTCTATTTTAGGAGGGATCTGGGACCTGCGGCCTCTGTCCCTGCGTGGTGCAAAGGGAGGGCCAGGTTGCCTTTCAGTACTTTGTCACAGCAAGGCCACAGGGGGTATGGCCCACTTCAATCCTGTGGCTTATTTGTGGGGACGCTGCACTAAGTCAGCTGAGCAAGGAAGTTCAAAGGTGTGGAGGCCAAGAGGGGCCACAGTTAGGGGCAGAAATAGGATCGGGGGGGGGGGGGGGGACTAGATATAATCATAAGAAATATTGATCCTGCTCTGATAACCATGATTGTTCTGTTCTGACCAGAGAGAGCACATTCTAACCTGGCTGAGAGCTGTACGCACCAGGACATGGGAGCTAACCCAGGAGTGCAGTCTGCCCACTCTCCCTTTCTGATAACTGCCTATCATCCAAAGATGAACAACCTTGTTGCTGGAACACCAGGCCCCAGAGGCACCCACCGTTTGCAACGCTCCCCCCCGCCTCATTGCCTGTACCTGTAACCATCATATCTTGCCTACTTCCTCATGTCTGTAATTCCCACTCTCCCACCTTTGTCTTTCCACCCAACAAAAGCAACTGGTTGGTGGGGAGACGTAGAGCAGATTTTTGTGGATGGCCTGCTGCTCTCCCATACGGTCGACATTATTGCAATAAACACTCATATGATTCTACCCGGCTCTGCTTAATTAGCTCAAGAAATGACGGGCAGCCTGAACCCACTGGTTGTCAGTTTCAACAGGATAGAAACGGGGCAGAAAGCATACCTAAACTCTAAGGGAGGGGTGAAGAGAGGAGGTGTTCTTAATTCCTCTAGGAAATAAATCAAAACAAAGTGAAAAGTAGATCCCTCCCCTTCTTCCCCCCCATCCTTTATCCCTGGCCAGACAAAAGCTAGGGATGGAGAGAAGAGCATGAAAGAGCAAAGGAGAAGGGCACTCACATTCTCTGGTTTAAGGGGTGCATGGCTCTTGCAGTAGAAAGACAGGAACCTGGCCACTTCCTCCCGGAGGCTGCAGGTAAGACAGACAGGGGGCAGTGCTTGTCAGAGGGTCTTCAACCACAGTCCATCCCAAAGCTCCTCTGGCGAATCTTCAGGCAACAGCCGTTATCCAGCAATGTTACCCACAAGAGAAATGTGATTAGTAAATGTCTCCATCCACCTCTCCCCTTCCACCCCAACTCTAGCCGCAGGCATTGACACTTTCATTCTCAGTAGTTCTAGGGCAGCCAACCCCACCAAATCACAGACCTCAGAGACATCATAAGCAATACTTTGATATCATAATAATAATAATAATACCATCTGTAGATCTAGTTGGTAATAATAATAATATTGTTATAACAATGACTATCATCATAGTTATTATTGCTAATATTTATTGAGCATTTACCTTATGCAGGTGTTATTTAGAGATTTTTTTTTTCATTAAGTTTTGCAACAACCTATGATGTAACTATTATTATTATTATTATTATTCTCATTTTATAGACAAAGAAACTTAGACTTGAAAAAATTAGGTCACTGGACAGAGTCCACACTCACGGCCAGTGGTCTGGGCCCACCATCCGCATTACTGTAGGAACATGTGCTTTGGAGTCATTCTTGGAATCAAGTCCTGCTAAGGAGCTACGCCCAGGACAGCATCTGACCCCTTAGTAAATGCTCAATAAGTACAAACTCTTACGAGTATTATTTACCATCTCTCACCCTGCCAGGAGGCGAAATCCCCAGCCAGCTCCCCTTCAACTGATTCTGGCTCCTCTAAAGCTACTGAGAAAGTGGGGTTAAGGACCCCTCATATGAAGGCCCTCCCCATGCCTCCGAGCCAGGAAACCAAGTTAGGGAGCTCCTGATCTGGGGTGGGACTGGCAGGAGGCACCAGGCCCCTGCAAATGTTCTAGGAGACCCCACCTAGATCACCCAACATGTCTCCAGGACTAGGTAGCCCTCAGCCTAAGGCAGGCTTTCTCCACCTGACACTCTTGACATTTGGGGCCAGATAATTCTTTGTTCTGGGGGCTATCCTGGGCATTGTAGGAGGTTTAGCAACAACCCTTGCCTCTACCCGATAAATGCCAGTAGCACTCACTTCCCAGTTATGACAACCACAGATGTCTGCAGACATTGCCATATGTCCCCTGGCAAGCAAAAGCCCCCTGGGGTTGAGAGCCACTGGCCTCTGCAACTACTTACAACAGATGTCCCCTCCAGTCGGGGTACTGCAACAGAGACGGCCTCACCTGCAGCATGTCGCCCTGGCTCAGCTGGGGACAGAGAGGAGAGAGCAGGGCTCAGGGTCACACATGCTCACAGTAAGGGCCGGTCGGCACTACCACCTGCATCGCACAGTACCAGGGCCTGTAAAGCCAAGGGCGTGGTCTCCTCATCAAAGAGACTGCGAGAGGGGCTCACGGGGCCAGCGTTCTCAAGCCCGATTTGCTAAAGAGGAAAGAGAGGCTAACCAAGTCAGGTGACTTAGCCAAGTCACAGAGCTAGCAAGTGTCAGAGCTGAGAATCTTAGAATATTTGACTTCCAGTCGAGGGCTCTTTATTCAACACTGACACCTAAAAAACCCCAGATGGGTGGATTTGCAGAAGCTGTGATGGGAGTCCGTGCTACCCAGCTCCTCCCTGGGGTGAAAGAAGTCCTGGAATTGGCTCTAGAGTCCAACTTCTGGAGGGATTCAGGCCACTGTCGTCCTGCAGACTCAGTTCAACCTCACACTTTGGAAAATGTGGCCATTTCTAGACTATCCTGACCCTGACCAGGATCAGGTGCTGGGTTAGTAACTACACACACACACACACACACACACACACAAACACACACAATGTCAAGGATAGGCCGGGTCTTTGGGCAATGGGACCACAAGAAGAAAGGCAGGCAGCCATTCATATATGACTCAAGACTTTCCCTTTCTCCTTCACCCCTTAGAGCTGCGCTGCCCAATACAGAAGCTGCTAGACACACGTGGCCATCGAGCACTTGGAATGTGGCTAGTCTGAATGGAGAAAAAAAAATGGATATTGAAGACTTGATCTGAAAAAAGTACATCGACTGCCTCATTGATTGTATGTTGAAATGGCCATATGTTAAATATATATAAGGATAAATAAAGTATATTATTAAAATGAATGTTACCAGTTTCTTTTCACTTACTTAATAGAAAGTTTAAAATGATATATGTGGCTCAAATTTCATTTCTTTGGATGGTGCCGAGCAACCTTGGAGTGTAGGGAGCTGGCGTTAGGTAGAATATGCCTTTCAAGGCCTCTGCCTTCAAGGCAGCCCTCTCCCCTTGGACGTGACTTTGTCATCTTTGGACACATGTCCCTCTGAGTGAAGCATCACGCTCTCTACAATCCCAAAATCTGACTACTAGGCCTTGGGAGACACTTACCAGGCATTTCCAGTCATTTGCTAGAGATGGCCGGCACCAGCTCAAGCTGTGTTAATGGACAGCCATTTCAAGAATTAAATTATACAAATTATATAAGCGAGTTACATTAAAACCAGAAGTAGTAAATACTCAAACAATATTGTTCTTGATTATGCTACTACATTTTACTATCCTCTGTGCTCTTGAGATTATTTCTATCTGTGTGTCTAGAAGAGAAGATGCTATACAGGTGGGACAAAAGAAGATTTACAGTTGTTCATATGGGAAATAATATAAAAATTAATCATTAATAATACAAGAATAAACTCTTGTTTTGTGTCCTCACCACTGTAAACCCACTTTTGTTACACCCTAATTTTGTGTGCAATGATGTCATATCGGTAGCTTGAAACCTGTCCTGGTGGGAGTATTGACACTATGGGAATTGGCAAAAGCTACAAATCAGCACCACCCTCACCTGCAAGAGCCAGCCGTTCAATATGAACTACACCTCTCCCCACCCCCACTGAGTGTTTTCCCTGAGAGCAGAGACCCTGCCAACAGGAGGATCTGTGTGAGGGGCAGAACATAAAGAGAAAAAGAAGCAGTATCAAAGCAGGCCAAGTGACTCGCCCTAAACCACACAGAAAGTTGTCCCTGAGGCAGATCTAGAATCTAGACTCCGGACTCCTCGGCCAAGGCCACTGAGGTGAGCAGCAGGCTCTTGTGGGGAAGTATTCTAGGGAGTCCAAGAGAAATCAGGCCTTCAGAGCTGGGGATACCACCCAGATGTGCCCCAGGACTCACCCGACTGGACAGAAGGTCAAAGCAGAGCTTGTTCTCACTGGTGCCCAGGTTAATGATGCCCTGGAGAGGAGAGGCACAGAGGCAGGGTGAGCCTGGCAGAGGGAGGCCAATGGGAGATCAAGGAAGCAGCACAGTGGAGCCCTCTGCAATCCCACCCTTCCGCCCACCCCTGTTTGACTTGATTCAATAATCAGAACTGTTTACTGTCTGTCTCCCCCCCAGACGACAAACTCCATGAAAGCACTTTATTTTTGTTCACTGCTGTACCCTCAGCATCTAGGACAGTGCCCAGCATCTGAAAGATGCTCAACAAATAAAGATTTACTAAAGGTTCTTATTTATGACAGCTCTGAAGGTATTACTGGGAATAACTTACAACAACCAGGACAAATAGCATTCATAATAATAGCAGCTACCATTTGCTGGATGCTTCGTGTGGAAACACCGTGCTGGTAACTTTGCACACCTGATCTCATTCCATTGGGACTGTTCTATAGAACGGGTTCATGATCTCATTTTAGAGATGAACTGAAGCTCAAAGGAGGTAAGTAATTAGCTCAAGAAGAACACACCCCATAGTAAAACAGTTGTGGCCCAAACCCTAGATCTGCCCCAGCTCTCAAGGCAAACAGGTGATGGTCTGTGGGTCAGAATCCACATTAGATCATTCCATGGTACTCAAATTCCTCCCTCACAAATCAAGTTCCCTTAATTATAACTGGGTCATTTTCTTCATTCATAAAGATTGATTTATTGATTGACTTCAGGGAGGAAGAGAGAGATCAAAATATCAATGTTAAGAGAGAATCATTGATCAGCTGCCTTCTGCACGCCCCACACTGGGAATCGAGCCTGAAACCTGGGTATATGGCCCGACTAGGAATCGAACTGTGACCTTCTGATTCATAGGTTGATGCTCAACCACTGAGCCATGTGGGCTGGGCCTAACTGGACCATTTTCTAACCCAGGTAATAAACTGGGGCCTTTCTACACCCTTCTTCAGGGTACCAGTGAAATATATTGTTTGTTCTCCCCAATTCTTGCAGAATTTTAAATAAAACACATCTCCCCAATTTATTGGGGGGGGGGGAGTTGTAGGTGTAAATGGTACTGCAGTTATGGTTTTTCTAATCCTCATCTTTTAGAGAAATGTACTGTACATTTTACAGATAAAATGAGATACTGCTGGTATATGATTAAAAACAATCTGAGGGTGGGATAGGTGAGTGTATAGATGAAACAAAATTGGCGATACATTGATAATTATTGCAGCTGTGTGATGGGTATCTGGGAGTTCGTTACACTATTCTCCCGCTGTGTTCTATGCTACATCAGAAAGCCTCTTGGAGATCAGAGGACCTTAAGTCTAACCTGGCAAGAGCAAGCTGGATGCTGCCCTGTGGGTCAAGGTAGGGTTTCCCCGCCCTGCAGTCCAGTGGGAAGGAGGGTTCACTCACATTGGGGTTCTTGTCCTCATCATACTCATCCATGTGGTAGGTCCTGTAGCCCTCCTCAGCCGAGTCCCAGAACCACTTACTCATTCTTCCTCGGGAGGACAGGTGGGAGCTGACAGAGAACTCAGGGGTGGGATCGCCCACTCCACAGTGCTCTGGCAGCTTCTGTTCTGGTTTTCTGGAGCATTCTCTTTCCAAACCATCCCCAGAGTTAGGGTCCAGGCCTGGACAGGTGGTAGGTGCCCTGGACTCCTTCTTAGAGAGGGTACACATCTGCAAAGAGACAAAAGCACTCGATGCCTGATCAAGGACTTTCCACGGGAACAAGCATCAAAAAGAACTGGGAGTCGGGGGCCTCCTCCTTTCTCTCTTCTTTCATTTTATATACTAACCGCATCCCATGTCCCTGACGTGTTGCAACCATGCGTGCAATGACTTCGAGTAAATTCTGCGAAGTGTATATTCCCTGCCAGGGGTCTGCACTTGCTACTTTTATACAACTTTGCTATATAGCTGCTTGAATTTGTTTTACTTTGGTGTGTTTTTCATTTTCCCATTTTTGCTGATCTCAATTTCAAAAAACCAGGTTACAATATTTTGACGAAAAGCAGAAAGCGCCTGAAATCCAGGGGTGGGGCTTGGGGGTAGGATGTCTCTGATGCAAACCAGGGGTAAAGGGTGGGATGGGAGCATGCTGGGCTGAAGCGAACCTTGGGTGGGGACTGAGGGACTGCTGGTGGGACCTTCCTAAGTGCAGGTACCCGGCCGAGCTCCAAGGTCCCCCTTCCCTCTCAATGGTGGGAGGCGTGGGCCTGGGTTGGGTGGTCTCACCCTGCGAGCGGACGCCAGCTCAAGGCAGTTTCCCCATCTGCACAGCGGGTATAACCGCACCCACTTCATGCGGTAGCCCTGGGGACGTATGTACAGGAGTTAATGTAGATAAAGCGCTTAAATCCTGGCCTGCAGACAAACTTCACTCCAACATCACTCTTGGCTGATTTTCCCAGTCCTAACAGACAAGCTCCATATAACAAGTAACGGGGGACACACCAAATGATGGGGGTCCAGCCAAAACCGGTACCCTGGTAGGGGGCACATCCCCAGGAGGGGGTGTGCAAGAGGCAGCTGATGGATGATTCTCTCATCGGTGTTTCTAACTCTCTATCCCTCTCTCTGTGAAAAATCAATAAAATATATATTTTTAAAAAAATGATGAGGGTCCAGCCAGCAGCTCAGGGATTCTGGGGGGAGTGGTAGGAGGGAGAGACTCTGGGGCTTCTGCTAAATGGTGTACCACGAAGGCTCCTTTGGGCTCCGCCCCCTTTGGCTGGGATCCCCAGCGCACACCCCACCCCAGCCCCCCAACCCCAGCCCTCCAGTCCCCAGCCCCCCAGCCCAGGCCTGCAGACGGGCGAGGCCCGGGAGGGAGGCCGGGAGGGAGCCGATGGGCGTCCAGGCGGTGGCGAGTCCAGAGTGCACCCTACCCCCGCGCCGACCAGGCCTCGGACCCGCAACGGCGGACAGAGAGACGCCTGTGCCTCTGCCGAGGGCCGCTCCGGGGTCCGGAGGAGGAAGTGCGGCCGCGCACAGGCTTCGGGACGGAAGGGCAGACTTTCGCAGAGTTCGGGAGTCAGTCGCTAAGGGAGGGTTACCTGTCTGCGTGGCAGGATCCCGCGGACCTGGCCGAGCTGGAGCAGCGACGGCGCTCCGTGGACGAGGATCAGGATCAGCTCCCTTCGCGGGGACAGCCGGGGCACCTGGGCTCCCGCAGGAACGTCCCCACCGGCCGGGGCTCGGGGCGGGGAAAGCACAGATCCCCTCGCGACCGGCCGGCCGATAGGGGGCGCACGCGCGCAGTCGCGCTGCAGGAGCTGGGGCTCTCTGACCCTATGGGACCTTGCGGGCACCCAGGAGCGGGCAAAGAAGGAAAAGGGGAAGGGGCCCAGGGCCAGGCTCCGGCTCCAGATCTTGGCGAGGAAGGGGCAGGCCACTGCTGCCCCTGACTCTGATCTCCTCCCGCTGGCTCTTTGGGGCGCCTCCCTTTGCCTCCTGGTTTAGCTCCCCAGTGTCCAGGCATCTGAAGCCTGCATGCAGCCAGAGAGAAGCTTTTCCGGATTAAGGCGAGAGCATCCTTAAAACATCCTTCCCTGTGAGAGTTCACACTGGCGTTTGTAGTTGCTCCCTTTGGATCTGTGCAACATTTGTTGAAGTCTGCCGCCGACCCTACATGTTCTGGGTTTGGTGGTGAGTTCCACTACCCAGGGCCCGGGCTTGCTCAGAGGCTCCAGTAGAAAACACATGATCTCACGCATCTAGGGGAAATAAACAACGTAAAACGATGAACAAAAACAGACCCAGAGACAGAGAAGCATCGATCGGACTATCAAACCTCAGAGGGAATGTAGGGGAGGATGGGGGGAAGGGGGAGAGATCAACCAAAGGGCTTGTATACATACATTTGTATATGACATATATGTATATGTACCTAACCAGTGGTCACGGACAACAGGGGGGTGGGGGCATACGTGGGGGAGAGGCTTGGGATGGGAATGGGGGGAAGAGGACAATTATGTGACACCTTAATGAATAAAGATTTTTTTTAAGTCTCTTTTCCCCATGAAAGGACAGCAGCAGGCTCCCTCTGTACAGCATGGCGGGAAGACCTGGCTGCCTTCTGAGGGCTCCCTTTGTCTTCACGTTGACCTTGCCACTACCAGTAATCAGCATCACAACCTCAAGCAGCTCTCGTGGCTTTTTCAGTCCTTCGTGTTTTGTTCTGCAAAATGAGCCACTTCTTTCTGTTCACGTCATAGCATCCTATTTAATCCAGATCAGTTGCCTTATTGAAGGGCTGTTTTGTGCCAGATCTCAGCCAGTGCTGGGATACATTTATGAGCAAATCAAGCTGTGGACATGTATGGTTGATTGGGAAGGCAGACAGACACATGGGATAACTTAAGAAATGGACTGCTGAGGGCCCTGGAAGCATACAGCAAGGAGGCTTAATCCTACCCCCACAAACGCATACCCCATAAACACAGTGGGGTGTTAGAGCAGAACAAGCATTTTGATAGGCCTCTGAAGGTTAGAGATGTGTACAACATGCATGAACTGTACAAATCTGATACCTCTCGAACTTACAGGTATGGGAGAAAGGACAGATACAAGCAGAGGTTAAGACATGAGTCTTAAATAAACCATGGTAATGACTGTATAATTCTCACTGGAGGTAACAGGAAAAAGACATTACATTTGACTGAGAGACTAAAGTCAATTCTGTAAGACTGAGAATAAAAGAACGTCCTCTCTCACCACTTTTCAACATTGGACTGGGAGTTCCAGCAGTGGTTGGCAAACTGTGGCTCGCGAGCCACACAAGGCTCTTTGGCCCCTTGAGTGTGGCTCTCCCACAAAATACCACGTGCGGGCGCGCACATACAGTGCTATTAAAACTTCGTGTCCCATGTGCGGAAGTCGGTTTTCAGCCTGGGCAAGTCTATTTTGAAGAAGTGGTTCTAACGCCGAGCCACACTGAAGGGGCCAAAAGGCCGCATGTGGCTTGCAAGCTGTGTTTGCCAACCACTGTTCTAGGCAGTGCAATTGGAACCGAGAAATAAATACCAAAAAGGACAAAGGAAAAATATCTTTATTAGCAACATGATACATTTGTGTACATTGAAAATTCAAAGAAACCCCCCTTCCAAACACACACACACACACACACACACACACACACACACACACAAACACACAATGAGAGCTAATAAGTGAATTTAACAAGATCATAGTATTGTTGGGTGATGGTTCTTTCTGGGTCTCTCACATTGCTTGTCTTGCAGGCAGGGACCTTGGCTGCCTTTGTTCTAGGCTAAGTTTTCCAAAGATAGACATTTGATTTGTATATAGATGCGAATATGTGTACAGCAAACTGCCTTTCAGGATTGTATATTAGCTGCCATTTCCAAGATGCCAGGTACCTTCTTTTCTGGTTCCATGAGCTCCCTCTTTCATCCAATGAATTCCTCTGTTTCTTAGCCATTGTTGATTTCTAAAAAACTATGTGTAGAGGAAAAAAACAAACAAAAACCTGGAAGAATCATTTGTTTTTATGTTTTTTTATTAACACACACACACACACACACACACACACACAATCAGGAGAGTGTCATCAAGGAACAGTAACCACCAAACCTGGATCCAAAAGAGGATGATCCAAACTCAAGTGATTGACTGAAGCCATCCATTGGCGCTGAAATCCCTTTCATCCTCTATAAAATGAAGATAGTCGCTGCTCTGCCTACTTCACAGACCCAGTGCTCTGATTGAAGCCCAATAAGCAAGGGCTTTGCAGAGACACTCCTGGGTGATATTAGTTGAACAGAAGAAGAAACTAGAGAGAGAAATGGAAGACCCCAGGCTTGGCACCAGAGATTCCTTTTAAAGGCTTTTTGAAAAGGTACAAAGGGAAAGAGCTTGTATTTGGAAGCGGGACATCTGCAGGTATCACCACCCTGCCATTTGGCCACTCGTGTGGAAGGTGGCTGTGATTTCATTTGAGTTCTCTAGGACACGGCATCCCCAACCCTAGAAAACCTTCACCAACTCTATTCTTCATGTATACCCTGCCTTGGAATTTAAAAATAAAAAGGACCAAAAAGAATGAATAGTTCCTAAAGTTGACTATGAAGAATGAGGAAGAAATAAAACGGGCCTGGAATTTAAGAGAATATGGACTTTATTAGGTTTCAACTACAAAAATAAAGGAGAGGAGAACAGGGAGGCAGAAAGCTCCCTTTGTTACTCTAGGATTTTCAACTCCAACCCATAAAAACATTTTGCTCACACACAATGGCTAGCAAAGAATAAAAAGAAGCAAGTTCTCAAAGAGGGGTCCAAGTTTTCAAAGGAGTCAGCCGCTGGAGGATGAGCTGAAGCGCCTAGTGGACGGGGAAGGACACAGTTTCTGCCACTGCATCTTCCATTGACACCTTTTCCCAATCTTCTGTAACATCGGGTAGTGTCTCAAAGAACCGCTTCATGGCTACAGGGTCCAAATGGAGATAGAAATAGAATTAGTTTTCAAGGGGGCCCCAGAAATCCCCATGCCATGATAGACCATCACGGAGCCACGCTTCAGGGATGTTGAACTTCAACCTACCCTTCTTTGGGATGCATTTCCAAGTCTACCCACCACATCCCTGATAGCTCACTTTTATTTATTATTATTTTTAAAATATATTTTATTGATTTTTTTCACAGAGAGGAAGAGAGGG